CCAAACACTCTCCTTTCCCAGTTTTACGGCCTGCATCGCGTAAAGATACCCTATGGACGCAAGATCCATTTCGTCGTCATGAACAACCTGTTTCCTCCACATCGCGATATCCACCGCACATTCGATCTCAAGGGTTCGACTATCGGGCGAGACTTCAAGGAAGATAACCTCGAGACTAACCCCCGCGCAACACTAAAGGACCTCAACTGGCTGCGCAGGAACCAGCATCTCGAACTCGGTCCCACCAAAAAGAAAATGTTCATCGAGCAAATGCAAAAGGACGTGAAACTGCTGCAGCGTTTGCACATTATGGACTACTCACTTTTGATTGGTATCCACGACTTGGAAAAGGGCAACGAGGAGAAGCTGCGAGACAAGACACTCCAGGTCTTTTCGCCGGGCGGTGAAGAGGAGCCAGAACCAGGACCACATCAGCTCTTACGCACACCTTCAAAACTAGAAAGTGCGCGGAAAGCCAGGGAACTGAGACAAATGGTCCAGACACAAAAGCCAGTACCGATGGGGCAAACATCGAGCAAGATGCCAGATGAGTTGGAAGATCCTAACCGGAACTTTTACTTCTACTCCGACGATGGTGGCTTCCGAGCCACTCACGAAGATAATGCGCCTGGCGAAGAGATCTACTACCTCGGCATCATTGATTGTCTGACACATGTAAGTTGTGGCTGCAATGGCCTTCATATGCACTGTACTAACTCTACTAGTACTCTTTCATTAAACGCATGGAGCACTTTATCAAGGGCATTGCCAACACAGAATCACAAATATCCGCGATTCCTCCAGAGCGGTACGGCGATCGCTTCATCAAGTTCATCAGCGCTGTCACAAAGACGAGGGAAGCAGCTGAGCGGGAGAAGCGGGAAGAGGCCACCAATAATCTCAACCATCTCTCTCTCGACGGCGTTGATAATGTCATCCAAAAGGCTGAGCATCAGGCTGATCGCTCACGGAAACAAGGGCACACAGAGGAGAACGTACCGAATCTACACATGAGAGCAGTACGCAGCCCTTCTGCAGAAAGAGGCGAAATAGGCACCACACTTCCGGTAGTTGAGGAGGCTGGCGAGTCTTCGAGTGTTGGCGGACACAGCAACCGGAGCGCTTCAGAGGCGGCTACAGGTGCAAATGGAAACAGCAGAGGTGTAGCGGCCCCACCACCACAGCTTTCCGGAACACCCTACCTCGGACCTCCACAGCTTCAGGCGAGAGCGCGGTCAGGAGATAGGGGGAGAGAGCAGGCACATGGGAGAGCGCCACCAACACCACCAAAGGAGTTTGGGGTGACGGGCAACGATGGCCGGCCACCTACACCACCAAAGGACGAGTACATACCCAACAGGAATTCTGGACCTCCCACACCACCAAAAGAGGACAAGAGCAGAGGAGGCATTCCCAGGTCATCGCTAGACAAGGATCTACCGCGAACACCACTGGAAACCACCATCCGCGTCAACTAAAAGAAGAAAACTCTGTCTCTCTCTGGAACAAAAGGGCATCACAAAATTTCCTTGTTCTTTACCTTTTTTAATCCAACATGGCCGGAAAGAAGAAGAAGAAGAGCCTTGTGTGCTATTATTGTTGTTTTTTTGCATACCCATACCCCCCAAACACCAAGGCTTTCTTGGTTTTGTGTGCGTGTGTATCTTGCCCCTCCTACCTTGAGCTATATATCACCTTTCAGTTTTCTTCTTGTCTTTTTCTCTTTCTCTCCCTTTTCCTTTGTTTCAGCAAAACCAACATCCTCTTACCACCCCCCAACCGAACCCCCTTCTTGCGTCACCGCGAATGCAATGATACCAATGAGCAGAAATAGCCGTTTTCCGTTCGCCGCTTAACCCTCTCCTCCCCCTTCCCTACGCGTCTACCTCTCTCAAACCCTTTGTGTATAACAACAGAGGGGGTTGGCTCGGCGGGGAATATAATGCTCGTGTTTGCTTGTCGTTTTTCTGTTTTCTTTCAACATCTCCTTTGTTGGATCGGACACATGGTGTTATTCTTTCTCTCTCTTCCCATCTTCATCTTTTTTCCTTTTACGGTTGGTTGGGCTTCGGTTTTGCGGGAGAATTGGCATGCGATTTCGCTGGAAGGAGGACTTTGGGGGGAGGACTGTTCTGTGTTCTTTCTTGTATAAGAATCAGGATTCCTTTTGTTGCAGCATTGGGGAGGACAGGCAGGGCAGAATAAGGCAGGTAGGCAAGATGGTAATAGGTGATTGCTGAAGAAGGGGGATTGGTGGTTGGTGTAAGAGGATCTCGTTGTTGGTTACTCCCGTGTGTGCGGTTAGAAAGGGAGACTGGCCTGTTTGCTGGTGCTGGTGGTTGGACTCATATCTGGTAGATAGATGAAAGAACAAAATCAATATGCATGTTGAGAAGGTATATGTACCAATCAACGCAGGGGCAAAGAGTGTTCACTTTTTGTCTCAACAGGTTATGAGCCCGGGTCGCTTTCAGCGCATCAGCATGTTCGCGAAGGAACTGCTGGTTGGGTGAGTGACCAGAGCCGAGTAAGGGTCAGAGCATGAGGCCAGCGCCGAGTAGGGCCAGAGCCGGAGTCAGCACCGTGAAGGGCCTGCGTTGCAAACCACTCGCATTACTTTGTCTCCCTGCCTTAATTGCGGGGGTGTGTTGAGAAGGTATATGTACCAATCAACGCAGGGGCAAAGAGTGTTCACTTTTTGTCTCAACAATGCATATAATAATCATTGCCATCATTACCGTAATTCTCTCTCGCCTGCGTCGTCACAGCGATAGTGTAAAAGACAGATCTGATGTTTGTTTGCATTATCGAGGGATAACTTCATATGCTACCCTTGAGAAAGGACTTTCCCAGTAAACCCGATTAAATAGGCCCCAGGTCTATCGTAGTAGTACAATTGCCGCCTCTTTCCCCCCTGTGGTCGAGCACAAGCACCACCGACACGCTTACTTGTAAAAGTCAAACTTGTCCGCCTCAGCTGCACCCTTGACCTGGCTAGTGTATGCCTCCTCCAAATCGCTCTGGATAATGTTATACCTGTTCTTGCGTACCGCTCGCAGACCGGCCTCTTGCATGATAGCTGCGATAATGGCACCCGACAACGGGTCATTGCGCACAATCAAGCTATCCAGGTCCACCTCGGGCGACAGACTCATCTTGGAAGCGATCGTCGAGAAGATGAGACGGCGCTCACGACGGTCTCGTAGCGAGGGGAATTCGATCTTTCTGTCCAGACGACCGGGACGGAGGAGCGCAGGATCGAGCGTGTCGGCACGGTTGGTGGCCATGATGACCTTGACGTTGGAGGTTTGATCGAAACCGTCCATCTGGTTGAGCAATTCAAGCAAGATACGCTGCACTTCTCGGTCGGCACCCGTCTGCGCGTCGAAACGTTTTGTAGCAATGGCATCAATCTCGTCAATGAAGATGATGGATGGTGAGTTCTCGCGTGCCATTCTGAAGACGTCACGCACCATGCGTGGACCCTCACCCAAGTACTTTTGCACGAACTCGGAGCCTACCACGCGGATAAACGATGCCGTTGTGCTGTTTGCAACAGCCTTGACCAACATGGTCTTTCCGGTACCTGGAGGGCCGTAGAGCAGCACACCGCGCGGTGGGTCGATACCAATCTGCTTGTACAGGTCGAAATGTGTGAGGGGCAGCTCAACAGCTTCCCGGATCTCCTGCTTCTGCATATCCAAGCCTCCGACGTCGGCATATGTGACGTCGGGCTTCTCATCCTGACCAAGCATGGCAATGGACGAGTCAGCCTCAGGTGGTAGGATGTCGACGAGCGCATTTGAGTGGCGGTGGAGCGCGACGGACGACGATGGCTTGAGGAGTTCGCGATCGAGAGTGGAGAGAATGCGGACGACGTAGTTGGATCCAGTAGATGACTGTACGATGCCAGTGCTGTCCATGTTAGCCTTGTTGCGCGGGCGCGTTGTTTGCGTTGAAACTCACTTCTGATCGATAGCCTCCATAAACTGCCCTATCACCAGTGGCACACTCTGGATGCGCTTGATCTCCTCTTGTGCCCGTACCAACTCTCGCTTCAGGCTCCGCTGCTCATCCTTGATGTACTCTTCCTGGAGGTGGATGTACCTGACCCTGTTAGCCGCCTATCGTACCATGTTACTCAGACTACATACTCTAATTGCCGTTGCAGCTTCTTGAAGGTCGAGTAGTCGTCATTTCCCTCTGTCGAGAAACCCTCTAGGGTGTCAAAGTTCGGTATTGATGACGGGAGCTGCTTCTTGTGCGGCGGGACAGTGTTGGCCGGGTTCTCGACGGCGGCGTCAGCCATGGCGATGGTTATTGGATAGTCTTGTGGTGTATGCGAGTCGGATAATGGCAGTTAGCAGCGAATGTCGGTGCGGTTTGGTGGAATCAGAGTCAAGGATGGTAAGGCGATGGAATGTCTGTTGTCGCACTGTTACGAAGCTCACGGAAGGCGCCGTCGGGGATGCGAAGCGCTGACGCCGATATCACGTGATGAAGCCATCACACCAAACCAAGTTGATCCCAGACCACACTCGTCACAGCCATGAGTGGTAAAAGCAACTTCACCATGCCGAGTCACGCGCTGTGCGATGACTCACGCTCGGTACATGGCTTGTAGGGATAGGCCAAGACAAGCTTGAATTTCATGCACCCGCATCGGGTTCTTTAGGCATACTAGATGAATGGTCGCAAGCCGTGGACCCTTGCTGACTGACGGCTCAAAACAGCGAGCCCTGGGACGTGTATGACGGGTGGCAACGTGGATGACCCGTGTGACGCTTTCTTTTGGCTGGAGATGGAAATAGAGAGTCGAATATATAGCACACGGTCTAAAGCTGGTCCATGTCGTGAGGTGGGAGATTGGCGGTTTGCGGGACGCCGATCATCCACCAGTATAATCGCATGAAGATTTGGAGCATTGATTGATACTGGTGGGATCGCCGCCGTCAACCATGGACGAGCGTGGCAGGCTGACATGACAAGCACAACTACGAGACTCCAAACACGATACAAAGGCACAAATACCATGAGGCGTTCGCGCCGACTTTTGCGTCAGCGGTTGGGCCGGGCGAGCGTCGAGCGGCGGTCTGGGTCGTGTCCACTCTCGACGCACACCCGAGCGATAACAGGGCCATTTCTGCAGGAACGAGGCCATGCAATAAGTGGAGAGACATGTGTTTCCGTGTCACGACGGCCAAAAGACGCGGAGAAATCAAATTGAGTTAGGCTAGGCTTGTGAGGTGCCGGCAACGCAGGCACTCCACTGGCCCTGTCGCAACGCGCGACCGCGTTTCCTGCTCCGAATGCTAGGTGCTTGCTTGGAGCTTCAAGAGACTTTGCACATGTCCATGTTTGCGGCTGCTGGCCTTCTGCTTCTGTGGTCGAGGACACGCTGCTCGGGTCTCGTGATGCCCGACAAGGCTAGAGGCTGGGGGTTCTGCCAAGCAAAACTGCCTTCTCGCTCCTCCGCTCTCAGCAACGCATAGTCCGCAAAGCGCGTCTGCGGTACGTGAAAGCTATCGACCGCATTTGAAGCCCGCCATTTCCTGCCTTACCCTGATGCGAGCATAGCAGACTCTGCCTATTTCTATTGTCGCGTGGTGTGTATTTTCTCTTCTCTTCTCGCCTCTCTGTCGGTCTCTTCACCCCGTGTCGGTTCTGGCCTCGTCCGGCTGCTCCTGCGAGAGTCGCGTCCATCGACATAAACACCAACATGCTTGCTGACCGGTCGCTAGCCAGGTGGACATTCAGCACACACGTGTGCCCATCGCCCCTTCCATTCGTTTTCTGTATACGCGCATAAAACTACGGTCCGCCCAAGCCACAGCTGCGAGCCGTAGCCGTAGCCGCGCATCACCATGGACTTTCAATCCCCACAGAATGCCATGTACGATCCCTCGAGTTTCATCGACCCGAGCGCAATCGCCAACTCGCAGATGAACGGCTCGCGCCCCTATAACCCCATGCCATCGGTGCCCCAGAAACGGGACTCGACCGGCGCCGCTCTTTCTCTATCGCGCTCCCAGACGCCGTCGCAACCAGCCCAGTTCGGCTTCCAGCACCAGCAGGCCTTTACCAACACTCCATCGCCCACCATGCAGAATCAGCATTTCGCTCCCGGTCAGATGGGCGGCCAGCGAATGCAAACGGCCTCGCCCGCCCAGAACCCTCATGCGCCGCAAATGTCGCCCATGGGCTTCCAGCAATCGCCCATGAACCAGGGATTCAACGCGAACGCAGCGAACCAGTTTCCAGTCACGTCGGTGCAATTGTCCCAAAATCTTCAAAGCCGACAGCAGGAAGCGCAACGGCAGTACGCAATGCGCCTGCAGCAGCAGCAGCAATTGGGCAACCTAGCTGCAAGCAACATGGCTGCGCGACAAGGCCAGCAGCCTGGAGGGCAAATGCCTGGTGGGATGCAGAATCCCATGCAACAACATCCTGGCATGCAGCAGAACATGATGCATAACCAACAACAACACTCACAGCAGCAGCAACAGCAAAATCCCCAGATCCAGTACCAGCAATTCCTTAAGAACGTCGCTGCCCTCATGGCCCAGCAAAACCGACCCTTCCACGCCCAGCCACAATGCGCTGGTCGCATCATTAACCTCCAGAATCTCTACTCGGCCGTCATACGCTTCAAAGGCTGTCGCGCCGTTACCCAGCAGAATGGTTGGCCACGGATTGCACAGATGATGCAAATACACCCAGGTCAATATCCCAACGCCCCCAATGAATTGCGCCAAATTTACGAGAACAATTTGCTCATCTACGAGACCGCTTATGTCCAAAGACAACAGCAGCAAATGCAACAAAAGGGCATGCCTCTACAGCAGCAGATGGGGCAGATGGGACCAATGGGATCCATGGGCCAGCAGATGTCGCCGACGAGACCAACGATGCCGGGCCAACAGAACAACGTCCCGGTACAACAGGAATACCTCCAGCAATTGCAAAGAACGGAGGCCGCCATGAAGCAGCAGCAGCAGCAGCAACGGCAGTCGCTTCCGCCAACTCAGCCACCACACCAACAGCTCGAACCCTCTCCACACCCGCAACAGGCGACACCCCTACAAGGCAACGCAGTCCTCCCGAGCGTAAACGGCACTACACCACAACCAGACGGTCATGCGCGGAAGAGCCTCAGCAGGCAGCTGGAAGGGACACCCACACAAGGACAAGAACCTAACCAAGCGCAAACTACACCGATGAAACAGGAAGAGAACGCTGCAGCCACGGATCCCAATTCCGTTGCTGTCGAGGAGGCTGAGAAAAGAAAGCCAGTCATCGAACAGGACGATGGTACTAGGGTGTACCAGCCCGCCTACCGAACACAAGACACCTGGGGTGGTCTTGATTTTGACTCTGATAACTTCAAGAACATGATCGACACAATCACAAACTACAAGCCAAATTGTCCAATGCTGCCAGAAATGGGTGTCATCGATGTTCGAGCCATCACGATGAGCATCAAGTCAGGACTTCACGCCGAGGCCCGTTTGGGGTTGGATACGCTCACACGGATAACGTACGACAACACCGTTCAGTTCAACCTGTCACATTGCGAAGACTTGACGGAGGTGCTGGTAGAATATGCGGAAGATTTATTGGAAATACTAGGAAACGACAACCCCGAAGTCACTGACATCATTGACCTAATGCCGTACGAGGACGTCCTGCATCATTGCCGCGAAGAAGCTGCGTCACTACAAGAGCTCCCACAAGCTGGGACAAAGGAGCACCGCCTCGACCGTACCGCGGACCGGCTAATCGCGATTACCACAATCTTCCGCAACCTTTCCTTCCTCGAGGTCAACCATGACTCTTTAGTCAGCCCTCCAGTTCTCAAGTTTCTCGCAAACTTCATCCGGCTTGTTGGTACACGGGTACTACTCCTCCGGTCACATATTAACACATTCGACTTTATGAAGGATGTCGTCACCTTCTTTTCCAACACCAGCGCAAAAGTCGTCTTACCCAGCCGTGAAGACGCATACGCGGTCCTGCATTTCCTCTGTGCTTTTGCGCCGGTTCCGCGACCCGGCGAACCCATCAAGTTCACACCTTTCAACCCTCAGATCCATCGTTATCTTCCCTCTGCTGTGGACAGTCTGGCAAAGCTGCTCGCTCGCGATGACCCCAACAGAATGTACTACAAGGAGATTTTCATCAACGAGGCCACATCCACACCAGCATACGATCTATTAACACGTTCTTTTGCCCTCGCAATCTCCGTCATACCTGATCGTAATTACATTGAGAACAAGATGTACCAAATGAAAGAGCCGCGACCCAAGGAAGTACGTATGTTTGAAGCGCGTGTTGCAGAGTCAAGGAAAGCCTACCTTATGCAAGGTATGCTCGCAGCAGATATCCTCGCAGGTCTGGCTCCAGGACCCGAAACTGGCATTTGCCGCGCGTGGCTCGAATCTGAAGACGGCTGGGCACACAGTCTGCTAAAGTTCGCCATGTCCCTTTCAGCTACCGACGCTGCTATTCCTCATCCTCCTCCACCACCAAACCACCGCGGCCAGCGACCCATGGACCATGACCGGGAAGGCTTCCAGCTCATTGTCCACCGTGCGCTGTCTACCCTCAAGCGTTTAGGTGACAAGTCAAAGGGCGGTGAGCCATTGGTAAAGGGCGTACAGCAGATGAACGGAAACATGAATCACGAGGAGGAGGACAACGAGGACGAGGATGAGGACGACATGGAGATTTTCAATTTCAATGGCAGTAGTTGGAGGGTCAAGGCTGATATCTTACCACGTAAAGAGACGCTACTTGGAGCGCTACTTACTGCACAATTAGATGTGCGCAGCCTGAACCAGTTTTGCAAGATTGGGTATTTGGACGAGTAATTTGACTTTGCTTGAGGATACATTGGAGCGAATTTACAAGGGGGGTTGGGTTGATTCAACGTGTATAGGTTAGGTTGGTTGGTTAGTGTGGGGGTTATAGGCTTAACGTTTATTGTGCGCGTGTGACGCAATGGCATTTCTTGCGTTGAAAGATAGCCGCATCTTGTCCTTTTTCTTTTTCCTGCTCCTTGTATGTATGTCCGTCTGTCCGTCTGTACTACAATACTCTTTCTTTTTTCTTCTTGTGTGCTTCGTTTAGACAAAAAATGTACCAACTTCTGCTTTCTTGTAGGATATGGATGATCTTACTATCGATACTACTATTACTGCCTTATTCTACGCGTTGTGGGTGTGATGGGTTTCAAATGTGGGCAAGTTTGCTCGTCATGTCCAGGATGTCCATTGTCTCTCGTGGTACAAACGTCAATGCGAAAGTAGACTCATCATCGGTATTCTAACAAATGAATCACTGCTAGTTTGACTCCCGACAAGCAAAGTACTCTAGTCCTGGTCAAGCAACACAACTGCACGTGTTGTTTGCCTCCACACCGCATGTCCCACCCCTGCCACAAAGCCAAGAACCAGTGTTTATTGTTTGCATCACTCATAATGCCGGTATATGGCTTCTTCACACATAATTGCTTGTTACTTGGGTCACTCTTCTTCCACGGTACTTTCTCCGACACTCTTTTCATACCCCGTCTTATGATCTGCTCCCGAACATCGTGTATACCTTCAAAACAGAATAGGTTAGAGTAAGTGAATAAACCATGGCGCGTACACGGGCTTGTAAAGGACGCCCTAGACTCCCTGGGCGCGTGATACGGACTGAGAAGGAGGAAAACGTGAGGCGCGGGTCTACAGTTGAGGAGTTGATGCTTTCGGATAATGGGAACGAGGATGAGCGTGACATAGGACATGGGGTTCGATGTTCAGTTGGTAAGTTCTTACAAGTAACTCGCTTTTATCGCTCTAATGGTTCTTTGCGTTTCTAGAAACGAAACGCAATGAAGACAATGTTCATCACGTCAATGTTGAGATTAAGAAGGAGAAGGAAGATGAGGAAATGATCAAGGTAGACAGGGATGAAAAGGAAGAGGAGGACACTACACTCAAGCCCCAACAACCCAGAAAACGACCTCGCACACGCACACGTATCATCACACAACTCAGCCCTACCCCTCAGCTTTCCCCTTCCCCATATCCCAGCAAAAAACGCAAAACAACGACATGTCCTCCACCCAGACGTATAACGCGCTCTACCACAAAGCCAAAACGCAAAGTCTCTGAGATTGAACCAGAGTCTGATTCTGAATCCGAACCTTCATCATCACCACCAGAAGACTCTGCATCTGACTCTGTATCTGACTCTGAAGACCAAGACGACGAACAGCAGACATCCCCCACACCCCTTCTTCCCAGCCCTTTCGCATCTCCCTCCTTCCTCCGACCGTACCTATCCTTCCAGCTCTCTCTTTCGAATCTCTCGGGCGAAAGGTACAGAAAAGCGGAGAAAAGCATGAAGGTGGTACTTGACGCTGTTTCATCGCTGAAGACCTCTACTGGAACGAGGAAGCAGAGGAAGAGTAAGGATGATAAGCGAGAAGTGGAGGGCAAGGGGAGGACAAAACCAGAAGAAAGAGACGACGACGTACTACCCAGAAAACAACGGGAACTGAACGAGCAGACGACACGGAGGTTGTTAGCGGAAGCGAAAGAAGGAGAGGAGGGGAAGAAGAGGGTGAGGGTGGTAAGTTCATCTCCGCATATCCCATCTCGTCCCATTCATTCCTATTCCCACCACTTTCTAATAACTGTTACTAACACCTCCCTAGACTAAAACAGTCCGACGTCACACCGATAGTATCTCATCCTCCTCTTCCGAATCCACCCACCCCACTCCTCATACTCCCCCCACACATCCCCGCCACTCCGCATCTTCACTATCCTCAGGATACACACCGCAGCGTACATCCAGCCTTACAGATTCCGCGGCATCCGTCTCTGTGAGTGGGCAAATTTGTTCTCCTGGATGACCGAGTTGCTGATTTACTACAGTAGTCCGCAGAAGAAAGCGATGTCATTGAGCGACAAGAGAGAAACGGGTTACGGCGGCGGAAGCGAGCGATGAAGAAGAAACTCTACATGAGAAATAGGGGAGAAGAGGTGAAGCACGTGAAGCACGTGAAAAGGCGGTTGAACAGGGGAGAAGAGGAAGAGAAGCAAGTGAAGAAGGAGAAGCGAGCGATGCAGAAGCAGAAGCAGAAGATGATGCGGTTGAACCCCAGACAAGGGGAAGAGAAGCCAGTGAAAGTGAAGGAGGAGGAGGAGGAGGTTGAAGTGAAGAAGAAGCCAATGTCCGTCACTGAAATGACCGTGAGACAGGATATGATGGACATGGTATCGCGGAATAGGGATAGGACACCGGCTATGTTTCATACCGGCAAGCCGGTTATGGTTGCTTTTAATCCTGTGATTTGGTAGATTTATATTTAGTAATGTGAATATCTTCTTCTCCTTCTAACACCCCTTTCTCTTTTTCACTCTTACGAAATATTTCCGTATTATATACACGTTGGCCCTCTCCTTTGACACTTTCTGCATGATCAAGTTCGTTGACTAAGTTTTATGCTTCATGGGTGACGCAGAGGCAGGGATAGCGGCGTGGGAAGGTGACAGTAAGGGCAGTGATGAGGGTGATGAGCATGACGAAGATAGCACTGAAGATAATGATAAACACTACTAGTACGATTTATGAACACTTAGATTGACCCCTGATATTTACCACCCTTATCCTAGTCCTTCACTTCCGCCATCCAGCTTGCCCACTGTTAATTCTATCCGTGGAAGATACTCCGCCCAACAAAATAGCATGTCTCTTTCTGTACTCAAAGTTCGCTCTCCTCCGAGAACTCAAACATGAAGCGGAGAGTCTCCCTTTCCCGGCCTCGGCGAATTCCATTTATTTCGAGACTGGTGAAGCTGATACGATGGATCGGATTATTCGGGTCGTAAGGAAACCATGATCCAGTTCGGAATAAACGATTAACTTGGGCTCGATACAGAACATTATCGACTCTGGCAGGCATGTCCGCATGGGCAGTGATGATGAATTGAATGCCGCCGCCCTCAGTCGTAACAACAGCGATGTGTATGTGTCGGAGATTGATCTCGTACGGATTGGCGGCAAGGTCCGGCGGGAATCTGTCGAACATAAAGGATGCTTACCATTGGCGCGCGGGCGGTCTGTACCAGCCGCGAGGATCGTATCGTGGATTGCAGCTGCCTCCTGCAGGGGTGGCAAGGCCAGGTAATGCTGTAAGCAAAAGGAAGATAAGACTAAAGAATTGCATCTTTAGAGGGTTTGAGATATTGATGTTACTGTTGATGTTGAAATATCAAAGGGTTGGGTAGATAATCCCCTATTCAATATGGTTGAGAAGCGGCTCTCTTTTATGTTCTGCAATCCTAGCAGAACACACGTCTTTTGTGTCAGAAGGGCCCACTATTAGTTGTCATGCCGTTTGTAAACGGGGTGTACACATCTCTCGGGTCAACATAACCCCTCATCCAACAATGCTCTTGCTCGTATATGTATCTCTCCACCTTGGCAATATCCGTGAACATCCCATTCTGCAGTGATCGTCGTCACATGAATGGAACCAGGGACTGAATAAACAGGGCAAGACCACGAGCAAAATTGCCGTGCCGTTGTTAAAACAGCGTGTACGCATCTCTCCAACCAATATGGTCCTACATCCAACAACTCGCTTACTCATGTTGGTATTTCTCCGACCCGCATAGAACCTTATCCAACAATCCGCATATTTTTATTCGTATCTCTCCAACCAAAATAGCTCCTCGTCCTCCGCAACATCCGTGAACACCACTCCATGGGAGAGGTATTTCGATTCCCTGCTCCAGCTTTCACTTTTACCAGTCTTACCCGACGACCTCCGAAACTGCCGCACCCAGTATCACAGCGACACTCCAACTTCGCTATCAGAAGACTACTTTCAACCTTTTCCAATTTACCATATTCGATATGCGATCGTTTTTCCTACTCAATTTATGCCCTACTCTCGTTGTAGGTAGCATCATGTGTTGCTTTTCTGATAAAAACAAGTTTGGAAGAGGCCCTTGCAACAAAGATCAACACTCTCGGCACCGAGATATTATCAATGGATGGATGGAAGGCTGCAAATAAGATCAATGTGGCACCCAGTCAATTACCTCTGGCCATCCATATGCTGAGGCTTTCATCTGTCCGCATCGAGCGAAAGAGGGGGGCTTTGGGCGAGTGGTTGGTGATTGCTATATCCAATGCATTGGAATTAGTGCCTTTGGAGTATGCCCACCCTCCCCTGGCAGTATGTTTCATCATTCCCAGTGCTTGGTTACATACTAATCTATTTGCAATAGCTTGTTAGCGTCAACGGAACATCCTCTCCAGAACAGCGCTCTATAGCGATAGGGTACGTGAAGAGTTAGAGGACAGCACCTGAATCCAAGTGTCTTTAGTAATTCATATACAGACATGTTGCGAGTCTTCTCTACAGTACCACGGTGCCCATCCTTCGCGTACCAAACCGAATAGCCACCGATCACATGGTTCGACGACAGCTCTACTGAGCCTTTTGGCCTTACTTTGCTGATGCTACAAGATAGAGGCCTTGCATCGTAGATGAATCAAAGCTTTTTTTCCCAATGCTTCAACAAAGAATACTTCTAGTATGATTTATCTAAGATGCCGTGTGTATGTGAAGGGCTACATCTATACGAGTGGCCATGTCCTCAGTATGCTTCTACAACATGAGGTCCTGGGACTCAACCCAATTTGACAGTCAGTAACCGGCTTTGTTGAGCTTCTGGCTTATCGGCTACTTCTGCTGCATCTTCTAATGGCGGAGAAAAGCCTGCCATAGACATGATTGTACCCAGTAGGCTCCTGTAATCTCCCATACCTCCGGCAGTCTTCCATGTTGCATCCTGAGGTCTTCAACAGAGCAGCCGATTCTCTGAAATTGCTCTAAATGAGTGGGTGGAATTCATTGCCGAACCGCTGGAACGCCACGTCGTATTCGGCAGTTGATCTTGTCACAGTAAGCACGGGTGAGGCGGAACAAGCGTGATGACCTTGCGTAGCATCGACCAACACTGTTACATTGCACTGACCAAAGTAGCTAGATTGCATCGATCGACACAGCTAAACTGTGAAACAGCCACTAACCATTAGAAGCAAATCTCTGCTCTATAAGAAATTCATCAGTCTCCCAGCGGATTGTGCGAAAGTCGAGATAACAACTCACCGCTGCTATTTCATGTGAATTTGCAGCAGTGCATACAACAGACTCACCTGTGCCGACGTCGATATATCTGCAATATACCCCATGTTGTTTATGCTACAGATAGCTGGAACTGTTCCCCATGATTGCCACTAGTGATCACGAACATAAGTAGCTAGCGAGAAGTTTATGTATATACTCACAAGAGAGGGTAGAGCAAGATAAATATATGTAAATCAAGTGAAGAAAAGTCATACATCATACACACAGAACAACATCCTGCTTCCAACTGCTATTACACATTTCATGACACAAGTCCGCGCACTTCTTACTTTCACGAAGACCCTTCACCCCCCTTCTTAAACGAATAAGTTTTCCACTGCGCTGGCGGCTCCACTTTATATTTTTTAAGCAGACCATTCTTGTTCAACTGGTTGGCTCTACTGGGCTTGTAGCGGGGTACTCCGGGGAGAGTACTCTGCTTAAATCCTCGAATGCGTATTTTGGATGTAGCCGGATTATTGAGTGATTGATGGCGGGGCTTGCGTGGAGCCGTAGTTTCTTCGGCGCGTAGACGAGGAGGGGCTGTGACGCGTTTCAAGAAGGACGACTTGGCCTCTTTTTTCTTTGAGGGAAGATTTGCTTCCATGGCTTCGAGCATTTCATCACCAGAAGATTGATTTAGCGATGCTGCGGGTGTGTACACGATTGACTTATGCGTAACGTCAAAGTCGTAGGTTTCCTTTAGGTACTTTGCGATTCCCTGGTTCTCTTCATCTGTGCCTTTGCCGTAGTGGTTCTTCAACTCTTTTGCGACGATTGTATCGAGTATATGTCCTTCCCAGAGCGGTTGCTTTACATCTTCGCCAAGGTCGTCAGTTTTGGGCAGTGTGACGACGGCCTCCCAGTGCAAACCCATGGCAGCCAGTCGATCTTTGTTCGCCCAGCCGGTCGCACGTAAAGGCGTCTTTTGGACGAATTGTTTGACTCGTTCCTCAAGGTCGTTCCAACTAACAGACCACACAAACCACGGTTTCAACATCTCTTCCACTGCCGTAGGGAAATCGCGGAAATGACGTGTGGAGTAGAAGATATGTTTCAGCTTGCCGAACATGAACTCCACATTCATGCCTGTAATGGTGGGATTTACGCCCACTCGACGCAATGATTCGCACCAGTCCTCGGTAATATTCCTTTGGAAGCTCAAGGAGAAGATGTTTAGGCGATTGATGAGACGGCACATGACCACACGGACTTCGGCATCGGTCAAATGACCGGAAATATCGATGCACATAGCATCAAAGAGAGTTGGGTGGCTTTCGGTGAGTAGACGTGACCGCGACTTCTTGAAAGTGTAAACCGCTTGCTTCTTTTCGCCAATGGCTTGCATGATTTTATCGAATGGCTCTTTCAACGCAGCTGCGTATTTCATCTTTTTCAGTTCTTCACGTAGGCGCACCTCAACCTGCTCAACTTTGCGAATGTCGTACGAGGTGCTTCCAGTCTCTTCTTGCGGGTTGAAAGGTGGCACTAATCCTGCAGCTCGTAGAGGCTTCATGATGTCGCTGGGAAGCAGATCACGGATATTGGGACTAACACCTATTTGTTGCAAAAACAGCCGGTAGTTCTGAGTTAGGAAGCGCGGGTCCAATGTGATTGCCCTATTCGCTCGCTCAATGATCTTTTCCATTATTGAAGGCGTGAGCGAGCCATAAAAGTCGGCAAGGACCTGCTGATCCTTGAGCTCAGGTGCAAGCTTATCCTCAAGGCCTAATTCTTGTCGGCACTCAGCAACCAGAAGCTCCATGTTGATACCGAAATTTGCTGCGGGATATGGCAAGATCGAATCGATAGCTCGGCAGGTGTCTCTGGTTGGGTCTTGGTAATAAGCCGGAGTTTTCTTTATCAAAGCCTTGATCTGGGAAAAATAGGACAGTCGTTCCTTCTCTCCGGGGAACAAAGGATAACCCCATACTGACCAAACACCTACGTTGGTAATCGTGGGTGTTTTGGTTCTTGCAGACGTATAAATTTTATCACCTTTTGGAACCCTATAACCTCCATCGATATAAAGTATCGTCGGCTCCGTGGATAACTTTCGTTCCAGGTTTTCGACCTTGGCAACGAGGATGACGTGATCTGCGACAGGAAACTCGTGAGTAACTTTGCACTCCATTGCAGCTAGTATACAGTCTTCCAAGATCTGCGGCGCCAAAGAATGAGTAGTAGAGGTGGAACTTGGCTGCTCTTGGGGATGATGGACCTTGAGCTCTTTCCTTCGCAAGTTGTAAGCATCAGGGTGGTTCCCACGAGAGAAGAGGTCCACGATTTTCGCGCCTAGTCTATCAGCCGCTGGGAAGTGAACGCGGAAGAGGCCATTGGCCTCTCGTATGGAATCGAGTGTTTTGGAGGGTTCCTTGATGTTGAAGGAAATTGTTGGAGGGTCCAATGTCACAGTGCATAGAGACGATACGGCAACTCCCACCGGGCCATGCTTCTTGCTAGCGTCGGTGCCCGCAACAGTAATGACAGCCACGGAGCTAGGAACATTGCGCATGAAACTGCGTAACGAATCTTTCAGTGCTTGTTTCTTAAGTTCTGCCTCGGACAGTTCAAGTGATATGTCCTGCTCTTCCACACTTGGCTGCGTGCTCGCTACCTCTTCTTGTATGCTATCCGTCGACTGAGATGGATGCTCCTCCTCTCTCTGTGGTAAATTACGAGTATCCTCGGCGAGAGCCGTCGTCTGCTCATCCTGTACTTGAGACTCAGCCTGACTTTGTCGCAGGAGACGAGTGGCGTGGTAGTGCCGTGGGAGGCAGATTCCGTTGCGGATATGTGCATTATTGCGTGCGCATTGAGAGGCGAGTGCACAAGGTCGTGAGCGTTCTAACTTGGTATCAATTATTACTCATTACAACTGTGGAGTCTATCTCACGAGTATGCAGATTCCATCTGTAGAAGGCCGCAAAGAAGCGGGAGGCGGGGCGCTGTGCAAGTGCCATTGCCGCGGCCGGAATTGGTCTTTCTAGTGTCGCATGCGTAGTGTTACCATGGAAAGGCAATTTTCAGCACGAGAAAAGGTAGCATAACAAGAGCAATGCGACTGACGATGTTGCGCGTGCAAGATTCTTGACTGGGATGTGGGAAATATTAAGTTAGCTCCGCCCAGACCTCCGTCTCTTCTCCGCAACTTTCACCACCAACTGCACCGCTAACACCCCCAGCACACACGACCATGGCGTCTCCAATTCCCTCAATGGGCGCAATACGCATCCTCCGTCAGTCAATACGGCCTCAAATACGGCCGAAAAATCAAGTGCGACACGCGACGCTCCTTCGCCGACCAAAGCGACCATATACCTTCACCCAACTCATAACCCTCTCCGACGGCAGCTCCTTCACTGTACGCACAACGAATCCCACACCAGTATACAAAAGCGCCAAGGATATACGAAACTCACCCCTCTGGAACCCCAGCTCGCAGAAGCTGCTGAATGTAGAGGAGGACGAGGCTGGGAAATTGGCAGGTTTCAGGGCAAGGTTTGGGCGAGGATGGGACGCGGATACTGATGCGGACAAGGTGCGTTTTCAAGAGGAATTTCTCAGAATCGAACACGTTGGCTAATTGGATACTGCAGGAGAAGAAAGGAGAAGACCATCTCATGGATCTGATAAGTAGCCAGGCCAGGTCGACAGGGAAGACGGCCGATGGTTCCAAAACCCCACCTGCGAAAGCGCCAGCACCAGTGCCAACACCCGCAAAGCCAGCTGCGAAGAAGTGAGGACTTTTTAGTCGAGAGTAGAACACCACGTTTTAACGCACGTTGTACAGATAACTACATATATGTATCAGATATCGTGGAGAACACTAGATGATGAATGCATCAACACCAACCATGCATTGCCGGTTCACAAGTTCTGTGCTCTATAGTTAACCAGCAGACTCTCTCGACTATTCTTTGGGTAGCACGTTGAGAAGACCTAAGACAAGGCCAGCTTGCGCCCGTGTGTCTCGGCACAGCTCCGCAAGACTCATACCTGCAAGCACCTTCCACTCCCTTCAGCCAACAAACCAACAAGATGATTCTTACACATAAGAACGTCATCCCCCTAGCTCTCCAAATCCCACATTTTCTCAATCTCCAACCAATTGCGAACAGATTCAACTCAACATGGCAAAATCAAATCCTAACCGCAGCAAACCCTCGTCGCCTATATCCCACAACGGAAATGAGAGTAACGTGGAGGCGACTCAGCCAGCAAACCAGCCAACTTCAAAAAAGACTTCGAATGCGATAAGCAAGGGCTACGTGATGGTGGAAGAACATGTGCCCACTAGGCTCATCATCAGCGACCCAACGGCACCAGAGAACATAATCCAAGGCAAAAGACAGCGCCAGAGACCGGAAAAGCCCAACGCTCCCGCGCCAACCAAGAAAACCACAGTAACGAAGAAGCCTGTAGCAACAAAGAAAACAGGAACGAAGAAATCAGTAACAGCAAAGAAAACCCACGGTCGCGGAGCCACGAAGAACTATGATGACGGTGACGACGATGCTTCAGAATCTGGGTCTGAGCCTGAGCCTGAGTCCGAATATGAACGAGAACCAAGGCCGGAGAGACAAGATATCGCGCCCAAGGCCATCCATCGTAGTGTCTTAGACCTTGTCAAACACTCTCTCAAGGTTTCCGACAACCTCATTAGTTACATGAAGGCTATGGAAGACGATCATGAGAAAGAGGGCCGAGCTTTGGATCGTGGTGTCAGTAGGGTATTGAGCAGTTTGTTGGACAGGAAGAGGAAGGCGACGAAGCAGAAGACGGGGAAGAAGAACAAGGCTGTGAAGGTGTAAGAGAACTGTGGGGGATGTTGGTGGGCTGAGGCTTAGGAAAACAACGAGGTGGTTGGATGTGTAATTTTTGTTGTTTCTGAAGACGGTCAGGCGCGAAATGACTTCATTGGGATTGCCTGTGTCTTCGCTGGTCTACTGTCTTGATATGTGCCTTGGAACATGAGTAGTACATGAACTGGGACTTGGCCATCCTTCAACAAACATCCTAGCCAATATGCTACATTTTAGACGACACAGCTGCAAACATTTGAAAGCATTTATTTCGGTGCCCAGTAAGAATTACCGAGAAAGGGATCCTTATCAAATCCATTCACAGTCCAAGTCGTGTGTTTTTCACGGGCTTTCGCATGTGTCATGGTACGGAGTCAAGGGTGCCCTGCAGATCCTCTCAGCAACCCACCCAGACACGTGAAAGCGCGTCATCACTCATTGAACACTTCAATATGTCAAACCCACAATACCTCGTTATTTGACAAGAGCCCCGTTACTTGAATAAAGGTAGACGCGACACGCTATTGACAAGCTTATCCATTGCAGGGACACCCGGCCGGATGACCCGTGCTGCAACTCCGTTCCCAGCATTCCGCCAGCCACCATCATGACATTTGGTGTCACTTGAAGCTCTTCACGTTTTCATCTTCCTTTCTAGAAACAAAATACTAAATAATCTTCGTATTTACCTAGGCATCCATCGGCATGATGCAGTATCTGGGCATCGCCTCGTTGCTACCGCTCGTGGGTGCTCTTAGTACCAGCGATGCGCCTCGTGTGAAGCAGGTCGCAATCATAGGTAATTTCATGATCCGGTCAAGAAATTCCCATAACTGACGTATTCCAGGCGCTGGAGCAGGAGGCTCATCAGCTGCATATCATCTCGCCCAGTATGCAGCCGAAGCCGGTATTTCCACCAACATCACCGTCTTCGAACGCAACGACTACGTCGGCGGCCGTACAACGACGGTGAACCCATGGGGAGACAAGTCCATCGCGGTAGAACTCGGCGGCTCAATATTCGTGCAAATCAACCAAATCATGGTGAAAGCCATGGAGGAGTTCAACCTCTCTACTGCAGGCAACGATCTCGCAACAACATTCGGCATGCCAGATCTGGGTATCTGGAACGGACAGGAGTTTGTAATAGTAACACAAGCGGGAGACTCATGGTGGGATAAAGCAAAGTTGCTCTGGCGATACGGTACCGCGCCGTTGTGGACAAACCGATTGATGAAGAGTGCCGTGGGCAGGTTCCTAGGCATGTACGAGGAACCCGTGTTCCCATGGAAGAGCCTAAGCGATGTAGTCGAGCAGGTGGGATTACTAGAAGTCACAGGTGTAACAGGAGAGCAATACCTCCAAGCCAACGGCATCAACGAGATCTTCTCTAGGGAGATAATCCAAGCCAGCACACGCGTCAACTACGCGTCGAACCTGGCCTACATCCACGGCCTCGAAACAATGGTCTGCATGGCCACAAACGGCGCCATGCAAATCTCGGGTGGAAACTGGCAAATCTTCGCTCACATGCTCAAAGCCTCGCACGCAAACCTCCACCTCAACACCACGGTATCGCAAATCTCCCGCCAACAAAACGGCACCTACAGTCTAACTAGCAGATCAACGAAAACAAACACCGAACAAACCACTCTCTTCGACGACATCATCCTCGCCGCACCCCTCCAATACACAAACCTCGTCATCTCCCCACCTCCAAAACACACCCCTGACGAAATCCCCTACACGCACCTCTACACCACGCTCTTCGCCTCGCCGCACAAACTAAACCCGGCGGCGTTCAACCTACCCCCCACAAGCCCCGTACCCCAATACGTACTCACCACACTACCCCCCTCTGAACCCCCCACCGACAACACCGCCGGCTCCCCCTCCTTCTACAGCATCTCCCTCTCCTCAGCGGCCATGAACCCCCGCTCCTCACCCCCGCGCTTCGAATACGTTTACAAGATCTTCTCGCCCGAGCGCGTGAACGCGACGTTCCTATCGCATATCCTGGGGCAGCCTGTCGGCGAGAAAGAAGCAGAGGAAGGGGAGGTGGATGGTGTGGTTAGTTGGATTCATCATAAACTGTGGTATTCGTATCCGAGAGAGTACCCCAGAGTGTCGTTTGAGGAGGTTGTGCTGGATGAGGGGTTGTGGTATACGAGTGGGATTGAGGGGTTTATTAGTACCATGGAGACAAGTGCGTTGAGTGGGAAGAATGTGGCGAGGTTGGTTAGGGATGGGTGGGTTGGTGGTGCTGGTGCTGAGGGACTGGTGGAAGAGGTTGTGCAGGAGGAGTTGTGATTCTTTTTGGTATTGTATGTTTGGGTTAGAATTTGTTTGGGAAAGATTGAAATCGAGATTGAATACGATAAACCATATGCTTGAGTGTAGATAGATTCTCTGTGTTTGTATAGAGTTTCCCTTTTCCCTCCATGCCCAGACTCCGTGATCAATAAAGAAGATGCCCAGCGCGAATAGGAAATATATGAAAAGGATAACCAGACCCATCCGCCATAAGCACCAGAACTCCATATGTTGTGCCGCTAAATATCCAACGTGGTGTACCTTGGTTCTTAGCACATTCCTCATCATAAGTCTCGTAACATTCGTCACCCCATCCAGCTCAATGTTTTTTCTCCTTCATGGTTTCCATTCCATGGAATATTACAATTACCTCTTCCACATCCAACACCCCTTTCATATAGCAAACTTGACCGTTCGCTTCGTAGTAGTAGTAGTCCTCGTCATGGCCTTTGCAGGCACGACTTCGCGCTCGACAGTGGTTTCCCTAGACGGTGTGCCCCGGACACCACCTCGTCGGCGCTCACTACGTTTCGCTCTTGCGTCTCTCATTTCCCTCAACTTCCATTCGTTGAGCTGTTGTCGACGCTTCTGGGATCTTGCATAAGCCAGCGCGGGGGTAGGTTTAAATCCAATGCCGTTCAGTCCTGTACCATCGTCATCTGGGTCGATAGCTGGGTCGGCCAAGTGTCCCGTGATCTCGTCGTCCTGCCACGTGAGGGTCGACAGTGGTGGGGGCGACGGCGACCTTGTCCTCGGACGGGGACGCGAAGGTGAAGAACGATTCACGGTGCGTGGCTTTTGTTGCATTGTCATTGTGGCTGTGATGGCGTGCGTCGTGATGGTGGTGGTGCTGGGCGACAAGCAGACTGACGACGGTGCCGAGACAAAAGTCATGGGTTGTGTTGTAAACGAAGCGATATCTGGCAGTAAGCGGGGTTGCGACGCCGGAGGCGTCTCTGGTATCACCCTCGAGTCCTCGAACCCAGACGTAACGTGTACAGTATCCGCGAAGGGCCGGTTCTTGCAATTTGTTGCTACTAGACGTCCGTACGTCGTCGTCGTATCTTTTTCCGTGGTTGGCGATATGGCGCTGTCGACTCTTGTCGCATCTAATTTCGGCTTCTTGCGTATGGCGTCGTCGGTGGGTGTGAGCGGGGACATGGGAATGGGAGCGATAGTGGTGAGGGTCATGCCACGCAGCTGCTCAGCGACTGCATTGCGCGGACTGTCCGGGCCCGATGAAGGTCTGTGATCGCTGCGCCGTGGTGTCGATGCCGGACGTAGGGCCAGAGCGGTGTTGAGCAGTGGAGCCGGCGGTGGCTGGTCGCGCTTGCGCTTCGGAGACGGGTGGGCGAGTTGGGTGGGCATTTCGCCGATGGATTGGGGTATCCAGAATTACATGAGGACTGTTGAAAGGAGATAAAAGGCTGTTTGTAGATGATTAAGCGTAGTATTGTTTGCGTTTGCCGAAGAGAGACAGCGCGGGACCCCAATTCCCATACCATCGCTGTTGGTTACGCGAATGTGGGGCAAATGCACAGGCCCGCTGTAGGGCTGAAGGACCCCTGGTTAGAACCACTGCACCACTGCACATCACATGCGGACTATGTCCCGGTACTGCCTGGTTGGCCTCGTCTATATCGCTACCTTTCAAACGTCTGCATCAAGAATGTCATGGACTAGTAGTCACTATTGCTCAAAGTTACGCTCTATAATTAGACTAGCCCGTTTCGCGGTTTGACGTTTGTATGACTGTTCAAGCTGCTTAGCTTGAGCACCTGTGTCGGCCTTCACATTTCTTTCCTTATCATTATTTTACTACTGGTTGGTACTATACTCAAAACGCACGCGGAACACTTCACATAATAGAAACGACTATTGGAAGTGAGGGACATGTGACTGTGGAGGAAATCGGAAGATATCAGCAGCTGACAATGCTCATCACAAGCATGCCCTCGATGGATTGCATGATACTAGGAGTATCAGTCGGACTGGTATCGGAATGCAGGTGGTATAATGTACAAGAACGCAAAATTGCAGAAATTTCCTTCACTTCGTACCCGCTGACTATGACTTGAACGTTTTACTCCGTCCCGGTATCTCCTTCTGCGCCCTCGGTAGCCCTTTGGGTGCATCTGTCATGCCCGAGAAGGGCGCAAACCCAGCACTCTTCTTCTTTTTGTCCTTCTTCTTTTTCTTCTTGTCATCGCCGTCTTCAGCATGCAGGACCGACTTCGCATTTGCATAGTCAAACGCCGGTTCCGCCTCGCCAGCAGCTGCTTGAGCCGCAGCCTCGTCTTTCTTCTTCTGCTTCCGTGCAGCTTTTCTGGCCGCCTTTTCTCTAGCAAGAACTACATCTTCGCTTTCCTCGGAAGCGTCTAGCATGATTTCGTCCTTGGTCATCGGGTCAAGGGGTTGTGTTGAAAGTGTTTCTTCTTCTGGAGCGTCGCCTCGCTTTCGCTTGCGACCACCCAGGTGTTTTACAACGAACGTATCGGTTCGTTCGTCTTGTGCGGGCCGTTCGTCCTTGGGAACAAACGTATGTTTAGGTTTCTCGGCCTTTGGCGTAGCTTGAGTGACTCGGTTTGGATCCGCAAAAATCTGCGCGGTAAGAGCCGGCAGCGGTAGAGCAAGATCAACTTCAACCGGAGCCGTCTTCTTCCCTTGCGAGATTAGCATGTCCTTAGATAGCTGACCCCAGAACGCAGATGCTGGAGCCCGGGCAGCCTGAAAACTAAATACTTTCTGGCCAGGGCTCGTGCTAGTTCGTTCAAGGATGGTGGGAGCCTCAGCAGCAGGTGTCACTGCAACTTCTGCTATCTTAGTTGCAGCTTCCGACTCGGCCCTTTGTGCTCTTTGCATATCCGCGACCGCTTGTAGGACTTCGTGTAGTTCTGGGCCACTCGCACCCCTCTCCTTAGCCTCCGCAACCACGCCCACAAGCTCATCTGCATGGGCTCGGGTGATGTGCCCAACATGCTGGATGGCGTTAAATAGGCCGACCTTGTTCGAAGGCATGTCACGGGCTACGGAGAAGACGGCGTGATTTGGCATGATAAATAGCGGGCTCTCGTCCTCCTTTCTGCCGAGAGTGTCTCTCCACTCGTGGACTGCTCGGAAAACGGAAAATTGTTGCCGTGTAAACTGAACAGGCGTTCGGGAGATCAGCTTGTACCAGCCAGCCGTTCCGAGACCCGTTTCACTGTCGTATATGGGGTGTTCGTATCGTTTCAAAGAGGTCTCCTTTGAGTTTTGAAGCACGTCTTGAACCTTGTTCTTTTCCGGGTTAGAAAAGTCCGACTTGTTGACTAGCTCGTTGCGCATGTTGTCGAATATGTATAAGAGGAAGTGGGTATCTGCGCGTGCATATTCGAACAGTTCCTTGCTGAGTGGTCTTTGACGCCAGTCTGCGAGCTGGTACTGTTTTTGGGCTTTGAAGTTGACGTGTAGCTCGAGCAGATAGGCTAGACTGGCAGCTTGGTAACCAAGGGCCCGGGCGGCGTGGAAGGTATCGAAAAGGCCGACTATGTACAGACCAAGGTCTCGCTGGAGCCATACGATGTCCATGAAAGCGCCATGGAGGACCTTGAGGATGCTCGGATCTGCGAAGACTTCGTTCAAGCATTCCAACTTCCGCCGCCAGGGTTTGAGTGTGTCAACAATCCAGTCCTTGTCGCGCGTGCTGATTTGCATCAGACACACCATGCCGATGTAAGTGCGGTTATCGTGGTGTTCCAGGTCGATGGCAATTTCCTTTGCAGTCTTGAGCTCCGCAAGCATGGCTGCTAGCGCCTCAGGTGTGTCGACAAGGGTAGCAGTAGTTGAGTCAAAAGGGGCGTATTGCTGCGGCTCAGCCGTCTCGTAGAGGGTCGGTGGGTATTCGTACTGTTCGATCTCGGTTTGGTAGGGGTGCGGGTATCTGTCTACAGTAAGCTCATTGCGCATATGAATAGGCATGGAAATCATACTGTTCCAAGCCCCGCCTGTCTTTGAAGGTTTTCAGACATTCTTCTAGCGGGATCTTTGCATGCGGCTTTGACGTGAGTAACGGGCGGAAGCCGCCAGTCTCGTTGTTGGTTGGCAAATGTTCGAATTTGAGTTGCGGCTTCGGGATAATCTTCTTGTCGGCAATGTTCGGGCGAGGCTTCACAACTGCCTGCTGGATCGTTAGACAATGCGCCGTGCTCCTGATGTACGTATTGCCTACATGTTCGCCCGCCGGGCTCAACCGTCTCACAAGACCCGTGTACTCGTCAAGACTGGTGTCGGCTTTCTCAAGCAAGCTGTCGATGACATCAACAACCCCCCTCCAATTGACGTCTATGGCTTCTGCGTCGGGTAGCTTGGGACCTACAGCGTCCGAGCTTGCTGCAGCATTCTCGAGAAGCCGTTGCGCAATGTGAAGGAGGCGCGCATTTTGGGCGTCCAGCTGCGTACCAACTTCCGGATTGAGCGACCTTTGAAAGGGTATGTCTGCGCTGCCAATGCACGAGGCAGAGTGTGTCGTCGATTTCAGGGCGGCCGAGATGTCTTTCTGAAGCGTCGTGAAGGAATCCATGGCGAGATTACTGTGCACTCATCCTCGAGAACAGTAGTCTATGGCGTGGTCTAGGGTGGCGTATTGCCGAGGGGTCGTGGAGATGGTGCAAGTGAGAAGAATGCGCGTGTCGCAAGTGTTTAGAGAAAGAAACCTTCAACTATTGCCTTAGCGCGCTTTTCGCTATCGATAGTCGCGCGCCCTTCACTCCGTCATGCCTCACAGATCTCGACTACTCTGGCCACCTATCTGACCAGCATACTACCAAAATGTCGGCCTCATTAGCACCAGAATGCAATGAAGTGAAAGAGTTCGCATAGATGTTCCAAGTAAAGCCAGCGATATGTCGCTGATATGCCATAGACGCTACGACAACTGTTTCCTCAAATGGTACAGCGAGAGTACGCAGTGCATCAACTAGACGTGTGCATCTGTACAAGCTGACAGTCCTTAGAGTTTCTTAGAGGTACCGCTACTACCGACGAGTGCAAGCCGATATTCGAGCAGTATGAGAAATGCCTTTCAGTCCGTCACCCTCCATAATGACTTACACTATCTAACCCACCAAACAGAAAGCTCTAAACGAGCGAGGTATTGATAAAATGCTCAAGGAAGTTCGAGACGACAATAAGGAAAACGATGCGGAGCACATGAAGCCGGTAAGAGCAGGCTCCAACGCATCATAAGATCAAAGCTCACTGAGTCCGTAGAATCGATGAAGTCAACTTCCAGTCATGCATTCTCCTCCATACAGCCTTGGAATGGTCCCATTTGTACAATTAGTCGGCAATTATAGTCCCATGTGTTCTACTTCCAGTTGCAGTAAGTTTTTCAAGCGTAAATCATCGCAAAGAACGCTGACGAGACCTGCAGTCAGCAAAGGATTACAAATAACAAAAATCTCCGTATCATCACTACCATATATACCACTCACATGTACTATACTCTCTAAACTATTTGATTTCCCTTTACTTTTTCACGAAATTATTCAGAAGCGCCGATCGGGTCCAGTTCTTTCCACTAAACACTAGATGACGACATAGGTGGAAGCACGGAAAGTTCAAGTGTGTCTCGGCATAACTACCCACTTTGAGGTCCCCACAAGCTTATAACCCCCCTCTGCCTCGTTTCCTCCTCAAATGGTCAACTACGTTTCCATTCCTGCAGAAAAGATGGCAACTAAAGTTGGTCTCGGCGTTCCAATGCCGCTCCTCGCTCCTGCGACTGCTACCTGGGCAGCTCCTTTTGCGGCCTACTACCTCTTTCTCCAGAACCGCATTGTGTACCACCGTTTAACCACAAAGACGTAGGTAGTTTTGAATCGATCTACAGCAGCAGACAACTAACACGGCCGATTACCAGCTTCATTGGCGACAAGACTAAAGATTCAAAAGATTCAAAGGGCGAGGTGGATCCTCTCTATCTTGCGACGCGCGCACAGCTCAACTTTGCTGAGAACGTTCCGTTGATTCTTGGAATCGCACTGCTCGCCGAGCTCAACGGAGCAAACAGGTAATGTTGCTAAGCGTAGTACCCGACGACGCATCTAACAGCTGTGACAGGACTTACATCAACTATGCATTGGGCACTCTCCTTGCTCTGCGTATTAGTCATGCCGAGCTAGGATTGCTCATCAAGAACTCAATGGGCCCTGGAAGAATTGTAGGATACTATGGCACCCAGACGGTTCTTGCCGGATTGGCCGGATATGCTGCGTACCTGATTAAGGATTTCTGGATGATCTGAACAGATGTGCCTCATTAGCCATGGCTAAGACATGGGGATAAAGTCCTGTTTATAAGAATAGAATTGATGAAAGCGACATCAGTGGCTACATGAGGCTATGAGACTATGAGACTATGAGACTATGCAGCTGTGTACATAAGCACAGGCATGTGAGATTGAGGCGCATTACGTAGCAGCCGCGACGCCAAGGCGTTCACGGTATGAACCTGAGTCGAGCTGCCCAAGTGCCCGCTGTCCGATCCGACTCCCCGCCAAATCGTGAAGCCACGCGTGGACATTATTGCTACACACGAACCCGACCGACGCATCTGAGCCCCACCAAACCCTCTCAAACTCATATTTATATCGGTTCTCGCCTACGGAGCTGAGGCTGTCCGGCGGCGCAATGGAGGCAGCGTCTGCGCGCATGGCCGCCCGGGATCGTTACGGCGCATACGGGGAGGCCCCAAGCTCACCATTGCAACGCTTCATTTGTAAGTCACAGGGCCGCACGGCTTCATAGACGCCACTAACACGCAGTAAATAGTACAGGCGTGTGATCCGCAAAATTTCGAGCCTAATCTCGCCCTAAACCTCGAGATCTCCGACTTGATCAACAGCAAGAAAGGCTCCGCGTACGATTAGGCCACCGCACCACCACAGACGGAAGACTAATGGCTCTGCAGACCTCGGGAAGCCGCCGTCACCATCGTCCACTATGTCAACCACCGCAACCAGAACGTTGCCCTTCTCGCGCTCAATGTACGCCCGCACTGCCCCGCCTCGTGCAGTGTATAGCTAGCTCACTATCAGACAGCTTCTGGATATTTGCGTCAAGAATTGCGGTTACCCGTTCCATCTTCAAATCAGTACCAAGGAATTCCTCAATGAGCTTGTGCGCCGCTTTCCCGAACGCCCACCGGTGCACTCATCCCGTGTCCAGAACAAGATACTCGAGCTGATAGAGGAATGGCGGCAAACGATATGTCAGACTTCGCGTTACAAGGACGATTTGGGCTTCATAAGGGACATGCACAGGCTACTCAGTTACAAGGGCTACATCTTCCCAGAAGTACGCAAGGAAGATGCCGCAGTCTTAAACCCAAGCGATGTATGTGTTCCGAGGGGTTTAGTTTGGCCAAGTTGCTGACATTGCGCAGAACCTCCGATCGGCCGAGGAGATGGCCGAGGAGGAGCGAGAGGCACAATCCGCAAAGCTGCAGGAGCTGATCCGTCGCGGAGGACCTGCAGATCTGCAGGAAGCGAACAAACTCATGAAGGTCATGGCCGGATACGATACACGGAACAAGACTGATTGGCGCGCCAAGGCTGCCGAAGAGGTTGGGAGAATACAGCAGAAAGCAAGAATACTTGAGGAGATGCTCCAGGGTTACAAGCCTGGTGACGAAATCAAAGAGGGTGATGTCTTTGAGGTATGCTCCGTGGTATGGCAGTGTCGTGGTATTTCACTAAACGTATCCTAGGAACTTGCCAACGCCCTTCAAAGCGCCCACCCCAAGATCCAGAAAATGTGCGAGGAGGATTCCGAAGACCATGAAGCCGTGGCGAAACTCTTTGAAATCAACGACAGCATACACCGGACAATAGAGAGATACAAGCTCTTCAAGAAGGGTGATATGGAAGCCGCGAACAACATTCCTCAGGGTACGCTGGGGCGCAGTGGCGCAGGTGTATCACAGGGCCCCAACAACACTCTGAACTTGATCGATTTTGGAGACGTAGAACCCACGCCCTCAGCATCGGAATCCTCACAAGCCCCGCAACAGCCAGCAGCTCCAAAGAACGCGCTAGTAGACGACTTGTTGGGCTTGTCGTTGAGTGGAGAAACATACGGACAGTCTGGAAGCATATCCCTAGGCGGATCGAATGGCTCAGGTAAGTTACATGTAGCCACAACTCTCACACATGCGCTGACATGACTAGTTTTGGGCATGTCTGGCATGGCTGTACCACAATCACAGGCCCAACAAAAGGCGACTAACCAAGCCATCACTGATCTCTTCACAGCAGCACCAAAGTCCAACCAACCTCAGATAAAGTCTCCTCTACCATCTACATTTTCGACACCACCTCCACAACCGTCTCGCACGCCAGATCCTTTCGCCGCACTCGCTTCCACACCGCGACAAGCCTCGCCATTCCAATACCAACAGTCGATCAAGCCACCAGCACCAGCATCCGACGCTGTTGATCTATTGGGAGGTGGAGCCTCTGCGCCGACAACAAACCTAGTGCAAAGTACCAATGCTTCAAACGACGACGACGAATGGGACTTTGCTTCGTCTGTACCCGATACCTCCAAGGAAATCACCGTCACCAATACTACCGTTAACGTTCTGTTCAACATTTCACGAGAGACGGACACTACCCTTTTGATCCAGTCAAGAATATCAAACAACACCCCACTGCCAGTATCTGCTCTAACACTGCAAGTTGCTGCATCCAAGGTAGATATTTCTCGACCATGATTGTGAAATACAGTCGGCTAACAACAAATAGGGCGCGCAGTTGCAGCTGGAGCCTCAGTCCGGTGTCAACCTTGGACCAAACCAGAAGTTCGGTATCACTCAGAATATCCGAGTAAACAACGTGCAAAGAGGGTCAGGGAACAGTGTCAAGATGAGGTGGAAGGCGTCATACTCTGTTGGGGGACAGCAAAAGAACGAGATGGGGGAAATTCCAAGCCTTGGTGTTTCGTAGCTTCGTGATACAGGCGCTATGGATACGGTCTTGTGAAGTACACGTCTGAATTGTCTGTAGCGGCAGATTATGGAATAAGTTGGATTTTTTCTGATCTTTCTGTCATCCAACTAGCATAGTAGTGCTGTTCTGGGAGGCGGGAGACAACGTCATAATACTAGCGTGGCTTATCGATTGCGAGGCTCAGATGTAATTCCACTTTCTTGCCCCTCCAGCTTTGCGCCGACTCATCTGCAACAACACCAGCACTGAATTTCCCCTTTCTCCATAACCAAGTAAAGACATCAACATGGTCCGCCATAAGAAAGATTTCAAGGGCAACAACAAGTTCAGAAACCCGGCCAAAGCACGCGCACCTCCACGCCCCCGCCGCGCATCTGATGCAGACGAGAACGATGGCGCCGAACCGAGACCCGCAAAACCAGAGTTCAAAGCCGCATGCTGGGATCTTGGACACTGTGATGCCAAGCGCTGCTCAGGCAAGAGGTTAATGCGCCTCGGCATGATGCGCGAGCTGCACGTAGGACAAAAATTTGCAGGCGTTGTAGTCAGTCCCAAGGCAAAGAAGATTGTGAGTCGCGACGACAAGGATCTCGTCGAGCAATATGGCGCTGCCGTTGTCGAAGCGAGCTGGAACAGGATAGACGAGGTGCCCTTTGGCAGGATAGGAGGCAAGTGCGAACGCCTCTTGCCATATCTCGTTGCCGCGAACCCCACCAATTACGGCCGACCATGGCGGTTGAACTGCGTCGAAGCGCTTGCGGCATGCTACTACATCTGCGGACACCCAGAGTGGGCCGAGTCGATACTGTCGACCTTCTCCTACGGCCAAGCATTTCTAGACATCAACGCGGCCTTGCTCAAACGTTACATGGCATGCGAAAACGAAGAGCAAATCAAAAAAGCCGAAGAAGTGTGGCTGGAGAAGATTGAACGCGAGTATAACACGAGTCGTGCAGACAGGGAAGATGGTGTCGAGGAAGACATATGGGCTGGTGGGAACATGAACAGGCGAGTCATTGACGAGTCTGACGAGGATGATGATGAAGAAGACGGAGAAGGTGACGAGGATGAGGACGAGGATGAGATCGATCCCCGAAATCCTTATGATCTCCCAGAATCATCCGACGATGAAGAGGAGATGGCAGAGCTTAGACGCAGAGTCCTCGCGTCGAAACCCTTCACCAACCCTGCACCGAAAGATGACGAAATCGAAGACGAAGACGAGAAAAAGGAACCGGAGCGCATACTCAAGACTAAGCCTGCGCCCAAGACGTCAAAGACGGAGGATGAGGATGATAGCGAGCCCGCTGAAGCCGACGAAGACGATGCCGAGTTCGATAACTTCATGGCCGCGCAACCCACCACAGATCGAACAGGTATCCAGAGTAAGCAAAGGGCGAAGGCCATGGACGGCAAATACAAGGCAACTTTCTCGAGTGGCAGCGTCAAGGCGCCCAGTGGACGTGGGTACCGATGATGCAGAAACCTCGGCGGTAGGCTTACGTGAGATTCTACGTAGCAATCGTAAAGACTGAAGCCGCATGCATAGGTAAGCTTTCCGTGCATAGTGGAAGCTATACTCCGTACCACCCTGTCTATACTCGCAAAATGTTGTTGTTTTTGCCTTGGTCGCAATGCTCTGGCTCCTGTCGCCTGAATATGTAACCTGAAAAGTGTCGACACTCTGTCGAAGCAGCTAATTCGCATTAACCAAAGACCTACACCGGTGTAGTAGGCCGGAGGTCTGGCCAATTGCGGTGCGCTTGATTGATTTAGACTAGGCGGGAGCTAAAACAGCCTTAGGCGATCATGTTTGTGCCGCAACCCCCCTCGCGAAACACCATTCTAAACATCGTCGTTTGACCATCCCGCTTCGTTCGTGCCAAACTTCAATAAGCTTTCCTGGAGGCTTCACCCAGGAATTATCGCAAATTAGCCCACGGACTGATTCTGTTCACCGGCTGATCATCGAAACCACCATCGCAAGCAACTGACTATCCATGCAGCTCTATGAGCACGTTGCGTGCAAGATGCAGTAGGACAGCGACCCAGAGCATATGCCCCGCCATGTTGCCGGACCCTTGCTCATCGCATGACAAAGATATTTGAGTTAAGTCCGGTTTCCCGATCCTTCTTCGAACAGTCTCGCCATGCGTTGAGCAGTCTCGCAAGACACTAGAGCTGAGCTTTCCGGCATCCGTATAAGGCGTAAAACAAACGTTTGCCTGACGTTCGAAACTAAGTATGCCGAGAAACGTCACTCCTATCACGAATAACTCCTTGGCCGACACCACACGTGTAAGAAAAATGGGTTTGCTGGGCGGCATCGTCGAATGAGCCACCCGACGGCGAGTTCCATGTGGATCCTCGGAGACGGAGTGGCTCAGTCTGCCTGACGAGCAGTCTAAGTTTGCGCTACAGGGCAGCTCGCCATCGATACTTGCAGCAAGACCCGAAACCCTACGGACGGCAGCTGGATACGCCGGCTTACTATCGAGGCCATAGCACGAAACCACGAATCTCTATATTGACCTCTGCGCCACGGCATTTTGAAGATACCTCTCTATCTCAGCAAGCCTGGTCATCAACAAGTCGTTCCTTCGCTCTTCTTTTATTAATTCTCTTCTTCATACTTAATAATTTTCAGGCCCCGGTGGCTTATTTATAACTTTTACAATGACGTCCGGTACTGTCTCCTCACTTTTCGTGCTCTTCTTGAGCTGCACAAGCGTGCTTGGGCAAACCGTCAACACTCAAAGTGTCCAGTACAACCAGGTACTCAATGTAAACGGCGACATGCAACTCAACTCTTTCCAATTCCCGGATCGCTCCAAGGTTGAGACCTTCTCCCAGAAGCAGCAACAGATCATTGTCAACCAGCAAACACCTTCAATTCCCTCCAACCAGATTACTGGTACCACAGGTCAGCCTTTCGTCGCCGTCTCACCGCAGTCGATGACCATCAGCACCAACGGTGCTACCGACCTGGTCGGTGGACAAATCGAGATGGCCATGACAATGCAGAACTTGCAGGGTGTTGCTGTCCAGCCCGGTAACACATACGTTGCCATGCTCTCGCCTGACAGGCAATCTTGGATGGTTCAGGAGACCATGAGGAGTGTCAACACCACCGACATGACCGTTCGCATGGTCAAGCGCACTCAGATGGACGGTGAGTACATGGTTGTCGGTCGCCAGACTGTCGAGACCAACACCCTCGTTGTTCCCTTTGGCAGTGATGGCAGCACCTCTGTTGCTATCCAGGGTTCCGGTCTCCAAGAGAACGAGTTCCAGGATGGCTTCAGGATGGCTACTCGCGCTACCCAGCCCATGACCATGAACGTCAACGTCAAGAAGGGTGTCGACCAGGGTATGTTGGCTGCTCTCCAGGGCCAGACCCCCGTCAACGACTACCGTTACTCGGTCGTCACCAACTTGGCTGCTGTCACTCCCAACCTGAACCAGCAAGTTACCGTCGTTCAGATGCCCGTCAACGCCATCCGTATCCAGAAGATGATGCAAGCCATGAACGTCCCCGCCAACGGCCAGGTCGCTATTGCAGTTGCTCAACGTGGTGTCCTCCAGAACCCCGGTGGTGCCACAGGTAACCTCAACAGCCCTGCTACCCGCCGTAGCTTGTTCGGCCGCAGGGAGCTCAGGGAAGAGGTTGCTGCCCGCCAGATCCAGAACACCGGTACAACTACCACCAACAACCCCAACCCCGTCGCCCAGCAGCTTCTCCTTGCTCCTACCTTCACCCCCATCGCTGCCAATGCCGTTCTTGACCAGGCCAACATGCGTATCGCTGTTCCCGTCAAGCAGGTCGATGGAGAGTACATCCTCACAATGACGCTCATGACCGGTGGTGGTGCCCAGGCCGCTGCTGCTCCCCAGGCCGCTCCTGCTGCTGCTCCCGCTTCTCCTGCTGCTGAGCCCGCCACCCCCGGTTCTGCCACCGCTGAATCCGCTGCCCCAGCAACCAGCTCCAGCGCAGCCAAGAGCGAGGCTCCCGCAACCGAGGGCGAGAAGCCCACCGCGTCTGCCTCCAACAGCACCATGTCGGCCAAGCCTGAAGCCACAAAGGCTGAGGAGCCCAAGACGTCTGAGGAGCCTAAGAAGGCTGAGCGCCGCGAGGACAGCAAGACAGACAAGTACGGTCTTCCCATCGCTCCCCAGGGTGCCGTCATCATGACAATGAAGCAAATCGACGACATGGCCTCTGCCATGACCTGGGGCGGTGGTGTCGCCATTACCAAGATGATGAGCGAGTACGTCAAGGCACAGACTGGCTCTGATCTCTTTCCCTCCAACAACGGCACTGCTGCACCTGCGGACGGTGCTCTCAAGATTACTGTTTAAACAGTTTAGTTGGATGCACTAAAAGAGACGGATAATCAGATGGTTTCGGGGTGTCATTTTTACATGGTATTATGGTTTTATGTATATGGAATGTTCTATAACTTATATAGTGGTGTGGGGCATGAAGATTTACACGAGAGTGAGTAGTAGTTAAAAAAAGCAGTATGTAATGTAGGGGGTCGTTGGGGGGTGTAGGAGAAAGAGGATATATGCCTTTTAAAGACTCGTCGTTCTGGGAACGAGAGCCTTTCTTTTACTGTATATAAAACGTTAATGAGACATGCAGGATGTCAAATCTTTGGTGTTCTTTGAGTGCTTTTGAGTGATGTTGTGAGTATTTTTGTGCATTTCAAGGGTGGATGTGGAATAAGGGTTACTACAGTCATCACATATTCCCAAACTATTGAACCATAGTAAAATCCATCATATCATACTGCCCCTTACTCATCCTCTTCAACTCCTTCTTCGAACCCCTCCTCGCCCATACAAGCACATAAACTACCACCGTCAGCACCGCCGCACCCGCCTGCGCAAGCCCCACAAACCAACTCACACTCTGTTTGTCAAATGTCAGCATAAGTATAATCTAGGCAAGGAAAAAAAACATACCTGCACCGAGCAATACTTTTCAAAATCCAGCACTCCCTCAAACTCAACCTGGATCTTCGATGCACCTTGACTACACGTCCACCCCCACAAATCATTACTAATACCATGCCAGTCCTTCTGCATACGATACACACCCACGGCCGCGGCCCAAACACCCACATTACCCAGCATGACGATCCAGGAAAATACGCTGGTGACTGTGTTTACGGTATTCGCTTTACCCACGCTGCAGCAGTATGCCAAGAGTGTGACGGCGTGGAGGATAGTCGACACGACGGCGACGGAGAAGTACATGTATGTGGGCCATGGTCGCGTATTCTTGGCCCACGCGGTACGTGTGTTTGATGTTCCGTCCGCGAGGGTGACGGTGCGGTAGGTTTCTTTTGTGGAGAGGAATTTTGTGAGGGTTAGAGTGATGGGGATCAGGACGCCAAGGGAGAGGAGGAAGGCGAGGGTGCGCGATATGATGCGTAGGCGGCGGATGAGGGATTTTAGACGCTGGGTTGGTTAGTTGAGGTCTGGGAATCGTGATTGTTCTTGAGGGTAGTGTAGTGTGCTTACGGCATCTTCTTTCTGGGCTTTTTTGATGGCATCAAAGTCTGGTGATGGTGGGCCTTGGTGCATTAGGGGTGAAGGGTGGCCGGAAGAGAAGCCGGGAGAGGAGAGGGTAGGAGAGAGCAGGTGTCGTTGAGTCTCATGGAGGTGATTTGTACTGTATTGCGGCTGTGCTGACATTGTTGCCGTTTGTTTTTCTGTGATTCTTTTGCGATGGTAATGAGAACCCTTAAAACATAACCTAGGAAATTCTCAAACTCGAGTTGAAGTACCCAAGTACCTTGCGATATATCCTACTATCTTTGCCTGGGCACTGTGCCAACTCTTATATGACAAGACAGTCTCGTGGTTGCATAGCAATTACAAATATCCCCATTCAGGCTCAGACTTGTGATGATCAAACTTCTGCCAATAGAAGTTTGGTATTTTTTTCAGCTGAGGTTGATGCACCGTTGTGGCTGAGGTTCCTCAAACCGTAAGCGGTAAGCGGCTCACCAAGCTTGCTTACTGATGGGCCCTATTCTTAAAATAGGTTTAGAATTACTTGTATAGGAAGCACATTTACTGCTATATGGTCATCTGGTGGCCTTGTGGAGTCGTCGCATAGTTTAAGCGATTCAAGCTATTGATGACACAGATTTGTTGGATGGTTCATTCCGTGTTAACTTGATCTTCGCTATATGCGCTTCTGAGTACAGCACCTGCGTTTCTCACAAATTTGATAGCGAGAATCAGGGATTTGAAACATTGCTCATCCATTTGGTGATCCGCGCTTTTTGTCCTCTATTGACTCTCCACCTTCCCTCTCCTTTCGCCGTTGCGCTACGTCCCAGTTGTATACCCGTGCGAAAGCAACTTCGAGTGTCTGTAGTTTGTTAGTCTTTATTTACTTATACTGCCAAACAGTTCAAATTGCGTACGGTGATCTGCTCCCGCAAAAAGTCCAGATCCTCTTCACAAGTACTCAAGCTGTGCTTTGCAGTTGACAACTTGGACTGCAGCAGTTCCTCAGCCTCAGGTATGGGGTATGCGAGCATAACATTTGCGCCAAGCCAGAGGTAGACCTCGTCGGTAGGCGGTACCTCAGCTTTCGCGTATAGAGTATCGTTGAGTTCAAACGTCGTCTCTAGTGGCTCTGCATCGTCCTTCCTCGACTTCAAGAAGCGTACTGTCTCAAGCGTCTTCTGAATGTCTGGGATTTTATCCTTGAGGCCAGCTGCCCGTCGTTGTGTGTTTTGCTGCATGAACTGATATTTCCTAACATGTTGTGTTAGGTCTTGTTGTGCGCACGCGAGCGCCCGGAAGAAGGACGCACGATATCATCTCCTTGAAGTTGTTTATGGTGCTCTCCACCTCGGAGCGGTCGGTGACATAGTCCTCGACCCTGTCAATGAAGATAGCCTTAGGAATCCCTCGAGGGTTCGCTGGAAGGTGTTAGAGGCCAGGCGCTGCGTGGGTGTCGTGTACATACTCTCGGGCTCGCTGTTTCTCGGATTAGCTGCGTTCATAGAAGCAATTGAAGTACATACCCCCCAGCTTTGGCTACGTCCGCCATTTCGAAGAACTCGACCTTGGGTGGTATTCGCGTTGCTTGTTTCGCGTCTCGGAGAAAAGTGCCCCGCTATGTCCGCTGGCTTCTTGGCACGCCAGATATATGTCACTTCTTCCACCCCACTAAACTCTTCCTTTCTCCCACTCCACCCCCGAGTCGATGCCAGGATTGCTCAACGCATCAGGCATAGCTGCCGTTATCTACCCTGCGGAAACTGCAGCCGATCTGGCTAAGAGTAATGATCTCACCACCCTCATACTGCAAGCCGGCCTCGAACGCTACTCTCAGCAGATACTTCAACATTAACGGCATCATTATTACGAGAAGACTTTGCCTCGTGAGATTCGATGGGAAGGCACGGATCCCCCGGTCTGCCACCAACACCAATTGTCATGATAATGAGGTCGTTGTACAGCACGGCGCTTCGATAGCTTCCAGTCAACACTAACGTGGCCGCCACAAGTGGCTATCAGACCCTGTTGTGTATCGCAAGATGGACAGCAAACAGCCTAGCGCAACGGGCGGTCACATCCTTCGCTCTACGGACACTGCTTTCCGAAGCCGCGGTTCCATCAAGGGCTATTGAAAACTACTGCGAAGCTAACAAAAGACGAGATGCAAGCCTCCATGCCAGTGAACCGCTCGCAGACACACCAAGAACCGAGCCAATCGTGCCCTTTACAACCATACTCACACCCACCCGCGAGGCTGCCCGTTTTGATACAAGCCACAGAATTAATCATCTGAAAAGAAAACGATCAGCAGAGTGCAGCCTAGACACGATCAGCAGTCGCATATGCCCCTGCTGGATGCGCTTCAGAAATAGCTGTAACTACTTGCGGCCATGCAGATGCACGTTCGGGCCTCCTCCCTATCCTCCGAGCATATCATCTTGCGAGCTCCTCGCCGACCTGGCTACCTGCCAACGCATTTGGAACCAACTCGTATTATTTATGTTCTTCGCCCAAATGAGGCCTAATGGCCTAGTGGGCCGAACGCACACCAAATACTCAGCTGGCCCATATTGGCAATTGAGGCACCCGGAGGAAAAGCGGGCCCTCCCGTAGGCTTTTTATATGTGAGAGTGAGACGAATGTCACGCCATGAGTCTGATGTCGAAGTATCGAAACATCAGATCTAGCCTTGTTGAAAGGTGGAACTGCATATAATGCTTCATGCATTCGAGTGTCCCCCACGCAGACGGTACAACGGATTGGGATACTTGCACCAATCCTCCGTTTCTGGAACACTACTCTACATGAAGAGAGCGATCTGATACTGATCATCCCGATCTTCATTTCAGCCCATATGCACTGCGCGACAGCTGTAAGTCTGGATCTAGGGACTTCTGTAAGCCAAGATCATCGCTAATCAGCTCAATCCTTATCTGGTTGCCCCCAAACCCCATAACATTAACGTACGATGACATGCTTCCACTGAGGAGTACACCTGCAGTGAATGGCTGGATGGCTGACGTGCAAGGCGCCCGGTACGGCACATCATGACATGACGTGGCTGGCGTCTCGCTTGCCAGCTGAGAAGCACGGAATGACTCTCGAGGCAAATGTGCCCATGAAGCATGGTTTCCGGTGACAAGGCTGGTCAGACAGCCACAAAGTGAGACGGACAAAACTTACTGCGGGTTTAATCCGTGATCGACGTCGTTGCGAAAGCTGTTTGGAGATTTCGGTGAATCCGGCTGATCTTTTGCAAACTTGGGGACTCCACAGGCGCCCGGTATCTTCGCTCCAGATACCATGTTTGTGGAAATGCCATGTCAGTATGCGTTGCTTGCCAAGCGCTGAGAATGGTCCTGACTGCATTGATGGGCAAAGAGTTACGAGATGTGTATCATCACGTGCAAGGCGCCCCACTATGGGATAAGGCTGACAAAAGGGCTCTACTATGTACGGCCCGGCACTTAGGCTACTGATCTGAGCTAAGACATGCAATATAGGTTTTCCGAATACCTAGGTATCAGAAAGAGGCCCGGGCGACCCCGTGATCGGGATGCTTCATCGCCTACAGCCCGATAACCCAACTATGCCACTGTTACACAAATTGCTCGTTCCAACTTTTCAACTTTTCACACTTCGATTACCCCCATCCAAACGTTTGAAGCGGGAACGGTACCTATCGCCGTAACCACTAAAAGCAACCGACCAACACCATCTACGGACCCGAATATCGTCTCCACCGAGTATGTCGTATCGAGGATGCACAAGAAAGAGATGTGATTCGCTGGAAGCACGATCCTGAGCTTGTACACCTATATCAATATGTGAGCTATAGAACTGCAGTTGCACAAATTCCAAATCTTCCATCTCGGATCGTAACCGACAACCCAACACCGGCAATACCGACGCGCTTTCAGTCCAGCATGTTTTGCGAGGATAGATTGCATATCGCTTTACGTAGGGCGCCACGTACCGAACTTTCCTTGCATCGCCCCAGGGACTAGGAACTGCCGTTAGAAGTACACTGCACTTCGGTCCCGCACTGGTTCCTGTCGGAAAGAACGGTCGGGTCAAAAGACAACCGTTAGAAACGGCCACATGGGCTTTGGAGTCACCGATGGGAAGCCCAGCCCACCCGTTCAACGGCCTTCCCGTCGGTCCGCAGGTGCTTCGTGCATGGTGTACGGGACGGAAACCCGTGGCAGCACGGTAACATCTACCAACACACCCCCTAGATGGCACTTTAATCTATTTCGCACACCATCTCGACATACTAGGGTAGTAGACGGGCCAACGGGTATCGTATCGTAGATATGAACGACGGTTATCTCGTATGCAAGCATGTTTAACCGCTGGTCGGGGACAGCCACCTGTACCGGCAGTTTGGGTAACGATGGTAGACGGGGTTGGGCATCTGGGTAAATACGGGGGGAACACCATGGCTGCAGCAGGTGGCCGCACAACGGAAACCTGGGTATGTGGACATGTGTCAGTCCCCAGGCAGGTAGGATAAACAGATGATCTCGTCGCGAGATCATGCACAGGGGATGTCGACATGGGTTTTGGCGAGATTGCGGCAGGAAAGAGGGTCTGTTCTAGAACATTACACACACGATGGGTTATCTAGATTGAAGGGGGTGGGGGTTAGGAGACCCTTTGTACTACCTCAACAAATGCAGCATGATCAATACTCGGGATATGAGGCTCATATAATAACAAGGATGGCCGGATTGAGGGGCCGGGCGCGTGGATCGTGAGTTTACGCTGGAAATGTAGGAGGAGACGTCCTCGAGCAAGTCAAGTCGGTAATGCTATGCTATGAAGAAGTCCTATGGCGGTGTCGACCAACAAGAAAACTGTGTTAACAATGATTTTGACATGTGAAGAAACTCGGTGGTGCTATGAAGAGGTCTCATGCCTGTGATGACTGCAGAGGTAGTCAATGCCAACGACAAGATTGACTGTACAACACAGAAAGTTAGAAGACACAACATCACAGTTGCAAAGATGAACACCAGAAGTTTTGAAGTATACCCTTGCCATTGCTAAGAAACAGAAACAAACATTAAAACAAAGAACTGGAACAGACCAGTCTAAAAGTAACAGGTAAGTCGTGTCAAAAGCCGTCGCTCTTCGTAAAAAAAACCAATCTCAAGCCAAAACTCGCATCATGTATCCATCGTGAAGTATTCGTACCCCCCACCAAACGCCAACATAAACAACCGAAAAATTTAAAGTCCAGCCAGTAACGACATACAAACAACATCAATATGAGAAGATATCGAGAAACCCTCAGGAAAAGAACTCCAACATCTCCATTTTCAACACTTGAAGCCAAGGAGATGCATGCAATCTAATGCAGTGCGTACAACAACAATGAATCTATCAGTCTAAGCGGGAGAAAAGCTTAGAGCTTAAGACCTTGCTGAATGAGTTTGCCAAGTGTGACACCCTGAGAAGAAAATTAGTACATTGATACAAGTGAAGTGAGCGGAGCGAGAAAAACTTACATGATCACCCTTCATCATGGTGAAGTGGTTGCCACCCATGACAGCATACTGAAACTTCTCCTTGGGGAGAAGCTGGGCCCAACCGTTATCCGAAAAGTCGGTACGGTTGTTGAGGAGCCACTTCATGGGAGCTGGGTCCTCACCCTCACCTGGGGGAGGGCGGGGGTCGTCCTCGTTGGGGCAGACACCGTCGGTGCACCAGATGGCGAGGACGGGGGGAGCGATCTTAGGGTCCATGGGAGTCGGGTCGTAGTCCTTGAGGTTCTGGATGGCAGACGCGAAGTGGGGCAGGAGCCACGAGGGAGTACCACCGGGCTTGCCGGTTCCGAGAAGACCTATCTGGTCGAAGAAGATGTGGAGACGGGCGGGGAGGGGATCGAGAGCGACGGGGCAGGGGGCATCGATGAGAACGAGGTTCTCAACCTTGTCACCAGCATTGACGAGCTGTTGGGCGACTTCATAGGCCATGACACCGCCGGCGGACCACCCACCGACGATGTAAGGACCCTGGGGCTGGCGACGCTTGATCTCCTGGAGGTAAAGGCGTGAGACACCCTCAACACCACAAGTCCACTTGTCGGGGCACTTCATGAACGGGCAATTAAGTCCGTACACGGCCATGTCGGGAGAGATGTTGGGGATGGAAATGTAGCTGGTAGCAGAGCCGGAACCGTCGGGAACAAGGAAGAACTTTTTGCTAGCAACCTTGGGATTTCCCTGGAGCAGGACAGAGGTGGCGGGAGGAAGCGAAGAGACATCGGGGAGCGATGCGAGCTTGCGGCTCACCTCAGCGAGTTGAGGGGATTGGGCCGAAACCTTAGAAGCGGGCTTTGAAGCCTTCTTCTGCTGCGGCGGCTTGGGGCGCATATCAAGAGCAGTTTCGATGTCCTTGATAGTGACGTTGACCGTGAGAAAATCAGCAGGGAGGTCGATGCCGGTGGCCTCGCGCATGGATCCGAGAATGGTAAGACTCATCAAGGAGTCCATACCAATGTCGGTAAGGTCGAGATCATCGGTAATCTCGGAGACATCAACACCCATCTCCTCAGCGACGAGCTTGCGGGCTAGACTAGCACCGCCCGCAACTGGGGCAGAAGGCTTGACCTCCTCCTCATCAGCATCACTACCGGTAGAGCTGGCAGGGGTGCTGTCGCTCTCGACCGGAGTCTCGAATGGGGTGGGCTCTTCAGACACATCAGATGAGTCATCTTCGACTGGGGCAGCACCATCGTACTGGGCGAAGTGCTTCTTGAGCTCACCAACGGTGGGGCAGTCGGTGAAGAGGGTGGAAGGAATGTCCATGTCAAGATCCTCACGGAACCTGGCAGAGATGGTAAGAGACAGAAGCGAGTCAACACCGAGGTTCTCGAAAGCAGCCTCGTCGACAAGCTCAGACATGTCCACATCGATCTCCTCAGCGACAATCTTCATGACCTTGGCAGTGACACCGGCCGGGGCAGCGATCTTGACAGCCTTGGCGGCCTTAGCTACCGGCTTGGTTGCAGCCTTAGCAGGAGCAGCCTTGAGGGGGGCAGCAGCGATGGCCTTGGGGGCAGGCTTTGCAGCAACAGCCTTCGAGGCAGGAGCCGCGGCAGCTTTACCAGCAGGAGGCATCATGATGTTGAGAGCGCGGCGGGGAATGTTCTGGAACTTAAGACCCATGACCATACCAATGATCTCAGCGCCGTCCATGATGTAAACATCACCAACGGAAATGTTACCAGGAGCAGGCTGCATGCGAACATAGGAGCGGTACTTCTTCTCGGGCGAGAGCTTGCCGGCGATCTTGATTGATCCCCATCCATGGGAGATGTAGACCGAGTTCTCAGAGTCAAGGTGGTCGGAAGCGTTGACGATGAAGCCAGAAAGATGAGCAAGGGAGTCGATCCAGTAAGGCGAGCAGAGGAAGTTTCCATCAGCAGCGGTGGTCTGGAACTGGACTGAAGCAGTGGCCTCAGTGGTCTTGCCATCGAGGATGACCTCCTCCATACCACGGTAGTTGTCGGCGTAGGTGACAAGGGCCTTGAAGAGCTTGTAGGCCATGCCACGGAGCACCTTGTGGGCAGCACCGGTCTGGAGCTTCATCTGGAGCATGTCGATCTGAGACTGCACCATGTACTGGATGCGGCCCCACTCCTCTTTCCAAGCGTTGACGTCCTCGTACTTGACGATACCGACAGCGTGCTCGGCAAGGACCTTGGAGCCATCTGCAGTAACAGTGCGAAAGGTGATCTTGACCTGGTCGGTCTCAAGGTCGGCATTACCCTCGATCTGCAGATGCTGACCGCTGGCAGGAGGGGGGTACTGCGGGATGAGGGTCTTGGTGACCTCCATGGAGCAGACGTTGAGACCAGGGGTAGTCATTCCAGGACGAAGCTGCTCGTAAAGGTAGTTGGCAATAGTCATGGCCTGATCGGCGTAGAGCGAAGAAGGCGTAAGAGGAGTACCGTTGACTTGATGGCCAGTGATAGTAGCCTTCAACTGAGGGTCTGACAGATCAGACTGGACTACAACAGTACCGGAGTTGGCCTGGAGCTCCTCGCGCACAATCTTGTGACAAGAAGTGGTGGACAACTTGGAGGGGGCCTCTTGCGCAGGCGCCGCCTCGATGGCCTTGGCAGTAGGAGCCTCAAGAACCTCGCCCTTAGTAAGGGTCCAGTTGTTGTGGTAGTCGAGCCAGTACTTCTTGCTGTCGAAGGCGTACGTCGGGAGAGTGTACATCTCGTGAGCGTCGTTGAAGAGTTTGTGGTACTCGTTGAAGTCGATGTAGACACCGGCGAGGTACATAGTGACAAGGGTATTGGAGAGAGTCTTCCACGGGTCCTCGTTACGGCGGAGGGATCCAGCCGCGACGGGAGAGCCACCGAGGGAAGACTTGACCATGCCACTGCAGACCGGGTGAGCACCCACCTCGAGCCATGCGGTCTTAGCGTCAAAGGCCTTCTCATCCTGGCCAGTGGTAAGGGCAGCATGGAAGTTGACGGTCTCGCGAGCGTGGCGGGCGAGGTATTCGGCGTTGATAATGCCAGCTTCGCGAATAATCTCGCCAGTGAGGGGAGACATGACAGGCACGGTAGGCTTGTTGAAGACGACAGAAGAGGCAGCAGTCTTGAACTTCTCAAGAATGGGCTCGACCTGGGCAGAGTGGAATGCAAAGGGAACGTTCAACTTGGTAGCTTTGAATCCCTGGGCAGTCAGAGCAGAGTTGGTGGATTCAACAACCTCGACAGTGCCGCAGAGGACTGTCTCCTCGGGACCGTTCATGCAAGCGATCTCAGTCATCTTGTCGCCGAGCGCGGCCCTTGATGGTGTCGACACTACCCTTGACAGCAGCATGCCGTGGGTTGTTGGCAGTGCACTCCTCGACCAGAAGCTCCGGCGGCGGCGGACCGACAAAAGGATCATGTCACTAGCAGAGATGACACCGCAACGTGAAGAGCAGCGTACTCGCCAAGGCTGTGTCCAATGACAGCAACTGGGCGAATACCCCAAGATGCCCACATGCGAGCAAGAGCAACCTGGATGCAAGCCATGCCGAGTTGAACAACAACCGGGGAGAGAGTTGCAACATCCGTGCCAGTCAACAAAGGCAGGATGGAAGGCAGGGAGTGCAGACGAGCAAGGTTGTCGAGCTGGTCGATGTCGTTCTTGAAAGTCTCAAGATCCTCGTACAGCTTCTGGCCGAGACCAGTGTACTGTGAGCCTTGACCAGTGAAGGTAAAGGCAGTCTTGGTTGGCACCATGGGCAGAGGGCTGTAAGTATCCTTGAGCTGAGCCTGAAGCCCATCCTTGACCTTGGACATGTCAGAGACGGCAAAGGCAACACGGTAGTTGTGCTGGATACGGCGGGCCGTGGTAGTGTATGCGAAACTGGGCAGAGTGGTCTTTGGGTTCTCGTCGAGAAACTGCATCAAGTTGTTGATGTTCTTCTTGAGCGAGGCAATGGACCTGGCGCTAACGGTGATGGTGTGCATCGTGCGGGGATCAATACCCTTGGGGGCCTCAGGGAGAGGACCGTCCTCAAGGATGACAGCAGTGTTACCACCAGCGGCCGAGAAGTTGTTCAAGAAAATCTTGCGCTTCTCAGCGCCGTTGCGAGGCCAGGGGACCTGGGTGGTGGAGATGTGCACGTTACGCTGGAGCAAATCCTTGGGGAAAGACTTGTTCATGACACCCTTGATACCAACATTGGCAGGGATGGCGTTGTTCTTCATCATCATCAAGACCTTGACGAGAGAGTTGATACCAGAGGCAGCTTCACCGTGACCAATGTTGGCCTTGATGGCACCCAGATGAAGGGTCTGCTCAGGACGACGCTGGCGATGGCGTGGGGCAAATGCATTGGTGACCGAAGTCATCTCGATACCGTCGCCAGCCTGCGTACCAGTTCCGTGCATCTCAACATAGCTGATATCGTGGGCATCGACACCGGCGTTGGAGAGAACCTTGTTGTAGAGGTACTCTTGGGCACCCGCGTGGGGGTGAGTGATGGAGACGGCCTCGGCGCTGTGGTTGGTAGCGGCACCGAGAATGCATCCGAGGATGTTATCCTTGTCAGCAATGGCATCCTCGTAACGCTTGAGAACCACGGAGCCACAGCCGTCACCACGGCAGTAGCCGTCAGCGTCGTTGTCGTAGGTCTTGCAGCTACCAGTCTTGGACAAGAACTGGCCCTTGGAAAGACCGGAGAAAATGTCAGGGTTGGTAAGAACGTTGAGACCACCGGCGCAGGCAGTGTCGCAATCACCAGCCCAGAGCGATGTGCAAGCCAGTTGGATCGCGGCAAGCGATGACGAGCAGGCGGTATCGACACTATACGACGGACCGGAAAACTTAAAATAGTAGTTGATGCGGCCCGGTGCGAAAGCACGCACTCCACCCGTGATGAAGTAGGTATCGATGTTCTCGGCAGCGTTAATCTCACGCCAGTCATCCGAAGTCTGGCCGTAAAAGGTGCCGATGCGCTCTAGCTTGGTGGAAGGGGTACGGTTGGGAACATAGCCGGACATTTCAAGGGCCTCGTATGCGGTGGTAAGAGCTAAACGACCCATAGGATCGGTCTGGGCAGCCTCACGCGGGGACATATTGAAGAAGCGGGGGTCGAATAGACCGGGCTCGTCGATGAAACAGCCAAAGGGAGTATGGCTCTTGTTCTTTCCCTTGCCGGAGGGATCGCAATGAGCCTGGGCATCGAAACGGTCTGCAGGGACTTCGCGATGGACATCTAGGCCCTTCTCGAGAAGATCCCAAAGAGCTTCAGGACTTGCGGCACCGGGGAAACGACCGGACATGCCAACAATGGCAATCTTGTCGTTTTGGGTGTGACCACGGCTGTTGTGCTCAGCCGCAACCCACGCAGTGTGATCGCGGACGGTGACGGAAGATTGACCGCCATTCTTCAGCGCCGAGGCAAGGCTGTTGGTAATGGAGGTGACACCAATGGCAGAGACGGAGCTTTCAGCGCTGGATGCTGACGTAACCTGGGAAACAATCTCAGAGAGAAGGCTGTCCCATCGCACAGGCTCGATAAGGATCTCACTTAGAGCGGTGCGGATAAGGTCCAGGGTGTTTGTGGCAGTCTGGCATTTCCCGGAAGAGGCCGAGTGCACAAGAGACAGGGGGCGGAACTGCTGCAGATGGCGGATGGCGTCCTTGTCGAGAATACGATCAATGTCGGCTTGGCTGTACAAGTGTGCGGCATGGTAAGGAGCGTAGACAGGGATAGGCACGCGGGCGGATTCTGCGAAAGCAGCACGCTGGAGTAGCAGCTTCATGGTCGCAGGCGGGCCGCTGATGGTTAGTGCCATGGTGCTAACGGCGCTAATGTAGGCGTGCGCCAGCGTTGGCGTCCGCTGCTCCTGGTGAAACTCATCGATGGCGTCCTTGGCCGAACTTTCTGAAATGTTAGTGACAATAGTGGACCACGTCTCCTTCGTGCTTGAGGCTTGTTCGAGCGCCTCTTTTGCGGCACCAACGCAAGTGCCAGTTCGGAAAGCAATGCGGACTGCCTCGGTCGCCAAAGGCAAAAGCTCGCTCAGGGACCTGGCAGATGCAACAACAGAGCCTGCAAGCAGGCCGGTGCACAATCCGACGATGCGTGTGTTTGAGGCATTGGGCATCTCTGAGGGGTTCTCGGCATAGTAACTGCACGTATCAGTAGTTGCATCTTGTATTACCAGACCAGACTCAACTTACCCAATGTAATGCGCCAACTGCGCAATTGTTACCATACAACTTTCTAGCTGAGGCACTTTCGTGCCCTTGGCATAGTATGCTTCGATAAGGTCCCATGTCGTCAGAAAATTGGGTATCTGATCTCGTTGAGTCTTTGGGAGCTTCTGAACTTCTTCCCGAACAACGACACTAATCCTGTCCAAGAAGGTAGTGAGGGTCGAGTTGTTCTTCCATGTGCAAGCCTTCCTCAGAAGCGCGTACTGGTCGGCGGTCTGGTCACCGAAGATGAGGACGTTCATGATGGCAAAGGGTATGGGTATAAAGAATTAAAAAAAGATTGAAAAGATAGAATCTGGCAATGGCAGATAGGGTAGAGTAACTTCAGTCAAGAAGGTTGAGGTAGAATGTATCTAGACGAGATCGTTCTGGAGTCGAGATAAGGGTAGTCGATTAGGAACGAAAGTCGATTTCGTCCAGTGTGATAATCAGGCTCTTGATGGCAGGGTAAGGGTTCAAGAGACTGGTGGACAGCTGGTACGAAGGGGAGGGTCTTGGGGATTGGGGTATCCTATATTTGTATGTGATCAGGAGTCAATGATAGCAGAAAGATGTCAAGAAGGTGGCCAAGGCGTAGTCCGCGCGATGACAAGCACAGTCCCACAGCATTCACATAGAGATGAGCCGTTCTAGCGCCTTAGCGTGTCCCCGCCATGTCCATTCCGGTGGCAATCATAGAGCGCAGCAGGGATCCTGAATGATGTGAAAGTCGTGGTGCGTGCCGGATCTGTAACAACCCTGGTATTGCGGAACGAAGTACTGCAGCAACCCATTGACGTGAGAAGAGTGTGGACCGCGGACCACTTCCATGCTGGGATAGTGCAGCCATGATCCCGAGGATAGATGGCGTGCAGATGTCGACCGTGCGTCCCAGTAAGCCTAAGACCTATTGATAGATGGCGCACACTAGGTCTAGAAACCAGAGCGGCTGAGGTATCGCGCCAATACGTTGCGTACGATAGCAACATGAGACGTGGGGACATGGACAGCAAGGACGCTGTCTCAAATTCGGCGTTAGTTTGCCGGATCCCCTCCCTAAGCCGGGATGGGTGGTCGTCCCGCCCATGTGTTTGACAATCAATTACAACATCTGCCAAGTGCATTCAGGCTCAGATCTATGCAGTCAGGATGAATTGAATACGGTCAAGTTAGTGAACGCGTTGAAGCAGCTGTGAGCAATCCCTGCCTATGCTGGCTAGGTGGTACAGCTGCACGCGAACGCCGGGCCTCAGTTGAAAATAGTTTCCTCGTGGTAGTCTCGATACAAGCCTCCATCTCGTGGCTAATTAGTTTTTCGGGTCGAAAACACGTTGTGCCGAAGTGTCCCAATAGACGCCCTGTACCCAGCAATGGATTCGATGCACCAGCGTCTAGGATGACCTCAAGGTTGGATCGAAGCGAGCATATCTTCAAGCACTACTCCAAGAGTTGATTCAGCCGCTTTTCCTTATGTCGATCAGGCTTCCATGAACCCCACTCTGACAGATGGTGGAGCTGGCTGCGTGAGGATGCTTGCTGGTGAGAACGCGCATGAAGCATACTCTACGTCTCGGAAGCTGGGAGACACAGATTTCCAATGATCTTCGAAGCGCCAGCGCATCGGGTCGACCCCTTTGGGAGGGTCTAGTAGTAGACATAAGGAAAAAACCCCCAATTGTTGGGCGGATATTCGCTGTTTGACCATGGGATCCAAGCGTTCGCTTCAAAGCCACCACAAGAGAGCCGTTGGTGAACTGCTATCAGTGAATTTCAGCTAGCCCGGGAATGATGATGAAAGAAAGGCTGAACGATCATCGCATGTCCATCGGTGATGTGAATGGGCGGTATCGTGCTGACTCGGCATCGCTAATCCCGAAGCCACAGGCGACTCTCCGAGCGTATAATTCCAGTATACAGCCTAAGCATACTAGGGTATATGGATACACATAGTACGGTACACTGCGGTACCTTGCTTGAGTCCGTGGGGCATTCTTTTGCTGAGTCGCGGTCGAAACAAACCGTCAGAGAGCTCGGACTGCTGTCGTTGGGAAAATGTCGTGCAAGGGCTCAATCTGTCACCATGGTACGCCGGATCAGCTAAGCGATGTATCTTTGGGTGACACCGTTGTGAGGAAGGCTTATCACGGAGGCGTTGTCGCGATTTGGTCATATCAGGCGTGTACGTGATTACGAGGTGAGGTCTACGGGAAGCGGAGAACCGAATAAGAAAATATACATGTGTCAGTCATCGAAAAGTTTCTGCCACCTGTCACCGCCCCGTACACGTGTGGGCAGCAACGCCACATATGCAACCTCAGCTGCTCAACCACACTTGTTCCCTGACAGCGGCCGAAACTACACGGAGCCTGAGGAATTCCTTTCTGGGGCTTTTATGAGGCTTTTCTCATGGCTTATAATAGAAATTCTTTGTATGGGCAGTGTTTCGCAACTCAACGAAACAACTTACATTATGTGGGGTGGTGGAGTCGCGAATCGCGTAGTCTCGAAGCGTAGGTAAAGTTTAAACTCCCTGAAATCATCGCGAAGCCCTTGAATGGTTCGTCTCACATCAGGTTTCGTCGTTATTGTCGTATTCGTTTCCATCACATTTGGAGAATCCCAGAATAAAAACGCCACGACGTTTGACACCACGTCGCAAGCTAATTGTGGCGACGGCAAGTAGTCACCTCGGGATGGCGAGTCTCCTATGTCCATCAACTGCTCTTTCGCTTTTACGAGTTAGGCTTGTCTTGATTCAGAGATATATTCCTTCTCTAGATCCGATCCCTTGAAGTGTATCACCCCTTTTCGAATCAGTGCAGATCCTTTTACTTCTTCCCACTCTTGCAATTAGCGACCGGATCGCTACCACGAAGCAAGTGATTATCAAAAGCACATGTCACTACCTTTCCTTGGCTCTAGCATGTGATTCTATACACAAGCACTACAAAGGTACATAGGCGCCAACCAGGCAGCAGGGCGGACTTGCGGATTGCAACGTGAGAGGAGCGGAGAGAAAATATGACAAAGATACGAGCATGTTTACTGCAGCTGCAGCGCCGGCCCCGCATCATAGTGACTTGTGTATCTGGGTACATGAAGTGCTGCGCCATTAAAACCTTTGGTCGGACGCCTGGAACGCCTCATCAACACCCCACAGTACTGCACAGCCGCCCACATCCGCCATGAATTCCAACTGGATGTTCTTGCATGCTGCCATGCTCACCTGCGTCTTGCCCTCGGCAATTATTGCATGCTATACTGATTTCGCTTAGTACCTAGTGCATCACGCCGCCTTCGCGTATTATGTGATCCACGTACATGTCCCCGGTGAACTTACCATACCTCCGGCTTCAGGTGAGGCATTTGCCAGCTGTGAGCTGAGTGCCTCGAATGACCACCGAGGAAATCGCTGAGCTGATCTTTCAAATCCAGATGCAGTTACAGTAGTCGGTGAAGTCACATTGCCGTTGGCACAATTAGTCACATTTGGCGGGTACATTCTCCGTCCACTCAAGCATCTCAACATCATTTTACCCACCGCTAACAATTCCCCGGTCCAAAAGATCATACCATTGCAAAAAATCGGGACTTTGTCCTAGTGCAACGGTGACCTACAGATCTTTCTAGACCTCTAGCCAAGTCAGCTGCGCACATGTCGGTAGATGTCAAGCTTTGTCCCATCGACAGAGCAAAGATCACAGGTGGCCCAAGTCAAAGACCGGTCTACCAGAAGCCGCCAAAATAACTTACATTACGCGACATGATGGTTTGGACATCAAGCAGTCCCGGCTTCAGCGAATACCCCATTAACACTCGAAGCGAGCTCGGCGAGGTCAAAGTTCTCGAAATGCTTGCCCTAGTGGTTGGGTACAACGTATATTAGATTACATGTACACCTGGTGCGAGCCAGCGCTTGTAGCAACGGATATGGTGCATGTCTACCTGCCTACCTTACCCAGCAATCAACCACTGGTCATCGTCGAAAGTTTAGCTCTCTTGCTAACCGCTCAACACAAAACTGCGTCCAATTGAAGAATGTATCCGAAATCTCTAGTGTGTCAACGGCCCGCCAAGATGTAGTGAGCGGGCCGAAGATATCGGCAAGATCGATGATGCGAGCATATGGCGGGAACGACGCTGCCGTTGTTTGCCTCCGGTACCTAGGCAAGTGTGCATCAGTAGATCAAACTTTGGTATGCGGCTTTAGTAGGCAATGACGAAGACCGTCTAGTCAAAACATACGGGATAACATACCTGGATACACGTTACCAGTACCATACACCTAGCAACGAGTCTAAGGACACAAGTCCAAAAGCTCTGACTACCCAAAGCACAACCATGGGTAATACGATCAGCACGTACCTACCAATCTCGCATACAGCATTGTAGAAACTCTACCCCAGACAAGCTCTACACATCAGACACACGCAATGCTGCACGTAAACCTCCATAAGCATCGGAGTTTTCTTTCGCCCACGCAAGTCTCCACGCTTGAGAAAAAAGTAAGCTCCCCCACGGGCCCAAGGCAGGCCTCGAAGGATCAAAAAAGCGTTCTCGGATATCTCACTAGCGCATCCAACGTAGAAGTAAGGAAAAAAGACGGCGCTCTCGGTTAGTGCTCCCGTCGACCAATTGCAGTAGTCGCCAGCAGCTAAATGGATCCGCGCCCTGGATCCGCTGCGCTTTGGTTGGGCATCTTCGGTCCGTGAATTCCTGGCGGGGAGGAGGCAGAAAGCGGTTAGGCGTGTGGCTTGCGATGTCCGCGCCGAACCGTTCGATCATGATTGTCGATTGATTTTTTTGCCACATGCGTGCGTGTGGGTGGGTGTGGTGGGAAGATGGGTAAGGGGTATGCAGAGTATGTGTGGCTGGTTATTGACGTCCGAAAGTAGATGTGACAACTGGGGAATCCAATGGTTTGTAGGGGCTCCCACGGTTGTCAAATCCGTTGTGGGCGCAATTGCGCGAGGAAGGAGTCGTGGAGTTACATGATATCGCCGTTTTTTTCGCGGCAAAACGGTGTAGACTAAAACTTCCAATTCTACATTATGTGCCTCTCCAGGCAGGGCAACAATCCGTGTGAAGTCACGTGAAACCACTCACACTATCACACTACTACTGCTACCAGAGCAAACACTGATGTAAACACTTTCTCCCTGCATGTCCCTGTGGGTGTTTTGCATGACGTTGTCAAAATACAAACCCCATGTACGTACCTGACAGCCTAACTACATAGATCTCGTCGACAACGCCAGTGATCTCAGTCCGCTCACAACAGCCTCTCGCTTGGACGGCAACGCGCCACGATTTCCACCAATCGCACTCAAACCCCTCGTTTACACGGACACTTTGACGTGTTGGTGTGCCACGTCTAATTTCCATGGCGCCTCCAGATTCCGCGGATCTACCCAGCGCGTATCGTTTCGTTTAGACTTCGTGTCTGTTTACTCATCAATCACACAAGTTCCAACGGCTTATCGAAATAAACGGCTCGCTCGCTGCTAGTACCGCATCCATCGTATTCACTGACACTAAGTTAAGTACATGCGAAAGTTTTTTTGCCGTTGACCCTTTCCACTTGTCCCCGTATCCGAAACGAAACTATCCCATGGCGTATACTCCGCCTCTATTTCTCCAGCAACCTCCACAGTCAACGCTTACGATGAACCTACTTCCTCGTGTATAACCAAAAATATCTTATTTCACGCTTAAACAGTTTTTTCCGAGATGGATCTCGAGTCAAGTGGACCGATGACACTTACACCAACCCATGTTCAACTAACCACCTAACCCAACGCCTCGGATATACATTAAGACAAACCCACCTTCATTTCCCAGCAGAGATCGCGTCTCCGGATACGGAGAAGGTAATATGGGAATTCTGATTTAGAAAATTCCCGATAGACATGGGTGAAACCTACTTCGGATCTATGACGTCTTTGATAATTGACTGAATCGCTCAAGACAAGCAAATTTAGACAGAGCAGCCACACCTATCCAGAGTATCGGAACGACAGATCTACTAAATCCGAATCTTTGGGTTTGTCTAGATGTGTACTTCGGATATGTGGAAATTAACACAAAGGGGGAATTCGATACTATTTCATCGGCTTCTCGATCCACTGAACATCGTTCCGCTGTGGCGTTTTACGGGAAGCGAGGCGAGGCGAGACAACGGAAGGATTGGAACGAAGGAGAGCGGGAACATGGGTGCATTGCAAAACGGAGCAAAACACCGGTATTGAAACGTCTGGATTCACGGGCGCTAGGAAAGAAGTGCGAGACATGACTGAAAGATTGAGTTGCATACTATCATAGATTACCGGTATTGAAACTTTTGATATCTACTGTTAGCTAGCAGAACAAAACATTGCGGCTTTATAGCTACCTAGAAAGGAAGTAAGCCCATAGCAGATTCAACTTGTTCATCCCGTGCGTACGTACATGTATACGCATGCATGTATAAACGACGAGATAGGAAAGCAAACCAGAAAGGGCTAGGGTACCTAGAACAACAAAGACACCACCGTCTTCTTTCTCCACTTCCTGACGCGAGACACAGATTAGACAGATGGTAATGGAGGGGTGGCCACGTAAGGCATGGTCGTACAAGATCTCCATCTGCACTATCAATCCGTGAACCCATCTAAGCGAGGCTGCTACTATTATTGCTAGTTCCATCTCGGGTATCGGACAGCGGACTTTCCGACCGACATGCGTGAACAGATCCAGATGCATTATTGGTTTTCACGCAAAGACTGGGTTCGCAGGCAAGCAGGGTCAAACAAGAAAGATGTGGCTGGAGAACCGGTACAAACATGGTGGTCTCAGACTTATGGTTCATGCTACGTAGGGGAACGGTATTGATTGGTCGCGTTTCCCCGAAATTCGATAACGGTTATGAGCGGGTTCTTGTTCAGATACGCATCGTGGGAGTCATGGGTTATGCACGTGGTGTTACACGGTTTTGTGATGAGGTAATGGACAATTGCACGCGCCCTTTCTCTTTTCCTTTCGCGTGTCATGATTGATGGATTGCAAGGCCGAGGATATGTCCAATAGATGCGGCTTGTGATACTCTATTGCCCTTGAGTTTGAATGCCCATGACAAGCTTTCCCACTCGATTTCAGGATTACTGAGATAATCTACAGGCTCGTGGTTATCGCGATTCCGAATATGGCAATGAATGTCGATGCTACCGTTCGTAAGTGCGATAATACCTGATTTCTTCTTCTTCGGGTTCAAAGCAAGATAATGCTCAACGCATGTAGTTCTGACATGAGATTACATAAGACAGATTCCGACAATGTACGTCTCCTGGCGTACAAAAAGCCAAGGATAACGTAACAAGCGCCACTAAAAATACCTTTCTTTTGCTTTCCCGTGTTTTCCGTAACCCAAGACGTCGGGAGCTCCCAAATCCATGGCCCATGTCACTGTGCCTAAATTCAGAATACACTCATACTCGGCGGTGATGCTGATTACTGAGTCTGGAAAACCGGATATAGTCCCTCTCTCTCCCGCTCCATCGGGCTATGCATATGTCTGTCATATCCATACAGCTTCATCATCATGCTGCGTCACCACCACTCCCAGCGCCAACCTGATGAGCTCATCAACAAAGAAAAAGGGAAAGGCCATGGAAGGGCAGCACACGCCCTTTTCTTTCCTGCTGTGTAACAAAACCAAAACCATATACAAGGAAACAGCGCCGCATGTGGAGACCCGCGTACGACATGCCCTCGTACTACAGCTACGCAATCTTCAAAAGGAAAAAGAGAAAAAAAGGCGCATCACCTAATACTACGCCTGAGAAACCATGCGATGCGCACCGCTACTTCGGAAGAGGATAACCATAGCCTGGGCCCTCCTCCTTCGTATCTCAAACATGCTCATAAGCTGGGGTAACAAGCAAAGAAAGGCGAGACCCGAAAAAAGAAATGCTATCGTGGTAGAAGCACGACATCTGTTGGTACCATCGACGGGCACGTGCAGAATGACAACACACACTATACTGTACACCGCCGTGGTCATCAGACACGTTTCCAATGTGTACCGAAGGCGAAAGCGATGTCAAGATTCGTAGCACCTCCAACTTCCTCTTCCAGCCGCAGTGACTGCTCCGTCTCCATGTGTCTTGGGGGACATTATCGCTACCGAAGCGACGTTGCATGCGTTGCGCGCGGCGCGAGTAAACCAAGCTTGTTCCGTGCTACGCGATCGTGTACGACGGTCCATGATATCACGTCTACTGGATATATTTCAATTACGCCTTGATCCTCCCTCTTGGGCTCTGTGACGCTGCGGGAACGCGAGAAACACGTGAAGAAGTTGTGCCTTGTGCGGATGTCCACGCGCGTGAGACATTGAACCACGTTGGAGATGCGCCTAATCTCGTGGTGCATACCTAGCCTGTGAAATGGTCACGCAAGGTGCACAGCAGCGGTAGTTGACAGCGGAGAGTCTTGTTTGTCGAGCTTGCCGCGAGTTGAAACTCCCTACCAGCTCAGCGTGGTCCGTCTCTCCCTGCGTTCGGGTTTCTTGCTCGTGCTTCTTGTTCGGGCTTCTTCTCCGGGTTTCTTGTTCGCTTTACTCCGGTCCGGGTGTCTAAGTTCATCTCTTCTAGCTCCTTTGTACTAAATCAAACTTCTTGCTACTGATATCTGCCGAGATGCAGGCCTTGTAATAAGGCGTTGTAGAGAGATAACTATTGGCGAAGAAGAGTTAAATGATTGACCTTGGGCTGGCAATAGGGTGAATGAGGGTGTTGAGCAACCTTCGGCCATATGCAGGGCTTCTGTGTCCATTAAGACTCCATCTCCCGCCGTGTAGAGATTATTAAATGTCTTACTACAAGGATCCTGATCTGATATTATATCCTCTACCATGTTGCAGAACGCACATCCAATGAGTTTTTTGGGGTATTGATAGCAGATATCTTACTGGATTGCATCCTGGTTTCTTACGCGTCTTCATCGGTACCTACATTACATTACCCCCTTTCAGGCTCGCTGATCAGCTTCACACCCTAATAGAGCTTTGTTACCATTGGAAGAGTTCGAAGTGTTCTGCGACATGGTGTTGGAGCGGAGGCGTTCTCGGCTGCACACGGGAGCTAAGGGTGTCGAGCGCCGGCCCAAACAAGCTCGAGCTCCTCTTGCGGCTAACTGCTTAAGTCACCGGGGTTCGGGATACTTACCTCAGCTACGAGTGGAGCTCGAGACATTAGGAAAGTAGTATGGCCGTGTTACTACAGTACATCCAGGGCATAGGTGGTCCAGTTAACCCGTTCGCATCCAGCATGTGACCATCGTGCAGAAGGCGTTATTACACTGCAGATTACGCTCGTGTCGTGGGTCATTACTAAACCATCATGGTTCTAGAGCCTCTGTTTAGATTACGCGGGAGCAAAGTCCCTGGCCCCAGTACGAGTTAGCGGACGGATGTCGTGGCAGCGAAAAGGAACTGAGTGCGAACGTGATTGTTACGGCTTACTGTCGTGGGCTGCTCACCCAGCAAACCAGTTGGAATAACCACCGGCTCCGGCGAGACCCTTCGGTCCGCGTCGAAGCGACCATGTAACAAAGGCAGAGGCGTGACACACGGTCTTCGCTTCCGTTGCATTGGCGTAGTCCCTGCAGACAGGAAGCATACTAAGTCGGACAACCGTGGTAGCATGAACAGGTTGGCCACAGCTCGATATCCTGCCACGATGGTACCTAGCAAATCAAACTACCCACATCTGCAAGTGCTTGTAAGGATGACATGACGATTGACTCGACACCTTCCGGAACAGCGACCGAAGATAAGGCGCCGAGTGGGCCGATCCATCAACCCGTGGGGCTTCATGGCACGTTGCGACGACACATGGGCTATTGTGAACGACGGCGTAGATGCACGATAGCTATCCATGAGTCGTAAATATACCGAACGGGTACAGAAATCGATCGATGAGGCGGTAGATGTCGATGAAGACTTAGCCATGGTCTTTCCCGTATTCGCTTAGTATTATGAAATCCCTCCAGGTTTATGCACACAGTTCTCAAGAAGTTGGTAGTGTCGGGCTTTCAAAGGCCTAGCAGCTAATGCCTAGCATTGAAAGTCCAGCCTCGGTCCTCGTAGCTTGCCAAACTTGCTTTGTCAATTCGAAAATGGCACCATGTACATTACGCATCCGCCGGAGTTAGGCCATGAAGCTCTCATGTCGCAGACCATGCCTCTACGAGTGGACGTTGGTACTCAAGCTTTCCAAGGGTTTCACGGGTTGCTTACCCGGATGCGCTCTGTGCCAGTAATACGCCGCAATTGCGTCGGGAAGAGATTTACGATGACCCGATAGCTGGGCATCTGCGATCATGGGCGTTAGCGAGCGCCTGGCAGCGGGAGCTTCCTTGCGATGCCCCGGGCTTGCTGAGTGAGAAGCTGAGCTGGCTACTGCGTGAAATCAAAAGTGCACTGGACAACGGTACTAGCAGGCTCATACAAGGGCCGTTTGCTCTCCACGTTTTGCATGGTGCAGTCGGGCAGATTGTGGAGTCTAGTGGGAAGAGGTCCAGTTCGCCAGGCCTGGGACAGAGGTACATGAGGTAGGCCCAGATAGATGTGCGAGGATTGTAGGTAGTGCTAGTAAGCGGGACAGCCGCGATTGCATGGAGTATCTGGGGGATTGGCAGCAACGCGTGGTAACGGTTCAGTGACGTAGTTTCTGGTGGGTTGTGAATTGTAAGAAATGAAGCGTGACAAAACACTGCGGTACTCCGTGAATCTGACGGAGTTCCTTCGAGCTAGCGGGTGAGCAATTGACCCGAAGTGACGAAATCCTTACGAGGAATACCCCGACAACGGAAGACACGGCGAGCTTTGTCACATGTGCACAATAAACCTGCTACTGTTAGGTTCGGTGCAGTCGCCTCGCAGAAGTTGCAATAACTTTCCATTCAAGTTGCTGACGAGTGCGCAGCAGGTGGTGTGATTTGCGAGACCGGCGTGTCGGGTACAGTAACTCACTGTCATCACCAGCGGCAGAACTCTGGCCCATGTCCCTGTCTCGCCTAGTCTTGAGCTCATAGGCTAAACAGACTGAGCCATAGATGGGTGAGGTTTGGTATGTTTCAGTGCGATGCGAGGTTGCTGTCGCCGTCATTGCCGCTTCCGCTGGGTCATGATGTAGCTAGATGAGGTGTTGTAATGGAGGGGAATCCAGGTTTGTTAGCGCCAGCGTTGAGCTCGCTGATACTGTGGTCCCGATCTGAGCCACCAATACTCCTGTACATAAGCCCTGCATGGTCGTTGCCACTGCGCGCTGCGCGCTGCGAATGGCAATGTCGAGATGCTGTCATCTCTGTGTGGAACGTAGGAAGGTCATGGTGCTCTTATCATGAAGAGCCCCCAGTCTAGTAGGATCAGGCCCATGGCAGTTGTGACGGTATGTCAGTATTTAATACCTGCCGTACGGGGTTCCGCGTGTACTGTACGAAGTGAAGGGAACCCCGCCACACCCGCCAGCCAGTAAAACCAACCGTGGCTGCTGCGCGCCCGAGGCTTCCGCAGCGGGATCTCTCGGCAGACGGCGGTACCATGTCCGCTGCTCCCGCTTCAGTCCACGACCAATAGGAAGCAACGGAGATTTTATCTGATTTGGTTGCTGGCCGTTCTAGAAGGACCCGGGTTGGCTCGCAGACTATTCAACGCGTTGACAACATCCGTCTAGCCTAGAGACGCGGCTATGATCTGATATCAGGCATCCACTGCAACTCGTATACTGCAGTTCATGTTGAGACAGCTCATGCTAAAGTCGGCCCACGCTGCAGCATCCGTATAGTCATCAATGTACCCGCCTAATTGTTATCAGCGCCAACCTGGACATACGTGTAAGGCTCTGGCTGACGAGTGATATACATTGGCTTGGCGTGCTCACTTCGGCTCGTACCATCATCTAGCGACTAGCGATATGCATCTTCTGAATCTCGGCTGGAGTGAAAATAGCAACCTGTATATAACCTTGGTGAATCCAGTGTCTCAGGGTCTGAACAGCCGGATGGGCTTCCTGGCTACTACCGGGCGCTGATGCCCCTCGGTACCGCCAGCACCTACAGCCGCCATGCGGATTACGAAACACCATTCAGGCCTCCCAGTCTACAGACCAAAGCCCCTTCACACGTCACTATAGGGGCGCGGATGCGGGTGTGGCGGAGGCTATCGTTTGCAAGCAACCACTAGCGACGATAGTCAGAGCTGACGAAAAAAAAACTCGTACAACCACAAAAGGACGAATTGCGCGCAAGTCAGCTCGGAAGAGAGAGCCTGCCTGATGACTGTAGCCGGATAACGGTGATGCTGGCAGGCAGATACGATGCCGGGCGGAAGAGCTTGCTCATGTTGGTAATTGAAGTTAATCTGGCTGTTCGCGTCACGGGCCGCGACGATCAGGCTCCATCAGGCCGCCCAGTGCGGTACCAGTACCAGATAAGGGGAAGTCGGTAAGATGGGCAAAAGGATTTGCAGTCTGTGATGTGCGCAACTCGGCTGTTTGCTTGTGTGCAGAGTTGTCGTGAAACGATAGTCTCGTATCGGCCGTGCTCGAAACATCAGTGGGGTAGCCCGTAGCCGATTCACGAGGCGACCGCGAGAGCTATAAACACGACCAGTTGTTTCAGCAGACACGGCAGCTTTCTAAATTTTGCTCATGCTGTTCTTAGCACTCTTCCCTATCCAGACGTCAGGCGTCGCGTGCCTGCTGGGTACGGTAACACGACAACGTCTGGCGCTGATGGTTACTTTTCGTATTGTCGCGACACTACCCGCATGTGGCGCAGGACGCGAATATCTAACACACCGATGTGGGCTTGAGCAGACTATATTCGTCGGTGCCGGTGCCGGCATTGGGGTTTTAGGGCTGGCGTGGGGATGGGGATAGCGGCTGTGGTTCGCTGCCTTGACGGATTGTCGCAACATGCTTCCAGACGCTGACTGGCATAGCAATGTGCTCGGTTTCGATATCATATGTGCATGATGAACGATGAGGTCGCTGGCGCGCAGGGAAGGACTGCATTGCCGTAGCCGCTGACCTGACCGGACGGTGCACTTTCGCAACGCAGGCTACGCAGCTAGGCCGTGGGCTGTGGCCCGTGCAAAACTCGGTGACTGGATTTCTCTTTGGGGTTGCATTGTTGTTGGAGGCGGCGAGGAAAAAGCACAATTGCAAAGTTGTCAAGTTGCAGACCGCAAGTGGCAGACCGCTCCTGATCGCCAATAAAGCAATTCAACTGTTGAATGCAAACAGACTTTTGGCTGTCTGCGGCAGTGTGAGACTAGGCGGCGAGGACTGCATTTCAGACGTGTCAATTCGCACCGCCATGGCCAAATGCCCTGCATTTGGTTAGGAGTTTGTCGCTGTACATGTAATGGAACCACTTTTGTAGGCCACGGTCACGTGCACGTGTAGCATTGGCGGCGGGGTGATATTCGTGGGCTGCTTTCCAGAGCCAGTGACGCAAAGCCCTCACCGTTCACATACAGTAGTTTCGTCGACACTTGGCCCACCAACGTCCGGGGATGACAAGGGGGATTATCGGAGCGTCTAGTCGTCACAATGCGGGTGGGGTTCTTTTGTGTTTTCTCGCCTGGCGCTGTCGGCCTTTGCACGAGGCGCAAACCTTGCTGGCAATCAATACACTTTGGACGACAATGGCCTGCGACGGCGGTATGGGAGAAGCAAACGCATTCCGTAATCCCGTCATGCCACTGTCACTGCCACTTATCCCGCTCAGACTCTGCAACAAACCTGCGATTGACTCGTCTGCACCATTTTGACTCGGAGCCTGGCGAGCACGACTCAGCCGCCAGAGTGATGCTGACAACTCTGCCCGTACGCGTATGAAGACGCGAGATGGGCAGGGCAATATCCGTCTCTCTCTCTCCATCCATGACTTCCACGAAGGCTGAGGGCCAGCTCACCGCTGCCAGGCGACTGGTACCGCGTGGTGTGGTTCCATAGCCCGGACGTGTCTGTATACAGACATTGGTGTGTCTCTCTTACTCTTACCAGGCAGGTCCCAGCACCAACCCCGCCACTGCTCATTGGGCCCGCAAACGGGTGCCGATCGGGGCAGGTAATATTCTCGTATTGCAGAATACATTACGCTGACCTCTGTGTCTTTTTCCCACACGTTGTGCGCTTGCGCTCGGTCCGCGGGCTTGACGGCCTTGTGGCTGACGCCGGCTCGGCGCCCATCCCCGTCAACCTGCAGCACGAACCTCGACCCTCCCCTCCACCAGTCTAGTCCGCGGTGCAGATCTCCAAGATGCATCCCTGTTGTCGCTGAGTCTTATCATCAACGCCATGCAGATGCCCCTGGTCACTCAAACAATCCTCAAGCTAAGCCCGCTCAGGCTCGCCCCACCCAAGAGCCTGGCGCGCTGCATGTAACTGCGAGGCACTAGCTCATCGCTCTCGTGCAGCTGGATCCCTCCTCAATTGATCAATTCATCGTCGCTCAGATGCATAATCAAAGCTCCCTGTTGGGAATGGCCGCCAGTCAAGCCCGCTCTTGCCTCTCCAACCTGTAGACATACTCGTGCCTTGATTACCCTCACTCCCCACGCCAGAACCACTTCCCGTGATTATCTGACATCTTTATCCGATACTTCGCCCTTCCCCTCGAGTTTGCTCACCCTGCTGAACACCACACGTACCACTACGCCTGCTCTTGGCCTTGTCTTTTTGACACTGCTAGTCAACCCTCTCTGCAGTCAGCTCCACAGCCGTCTTGACACACGGCTTCCGTCTGACATCCCAACGGACAACGCCTAGCCATCGACCTGACCTTTTCTATATTCACCTTAGTTCCATACCCACATCCATGTCCGTTCCATATTAGAGACGCCCCGGGACTACCACAACCAACTCTCCGCTCCATTACTATTCTCCGTCCTCGCCCAACCTTACCAATAACCACCGAGCACAAACTCCCCGCATCTACACTTGACACTTTCTCACGCCTACCTGGTCAACTCCGCCAGACTAGTCCATGGCATTGGTGTTCTTTTGATTTCTGGCACCCAACATCATCGCCGGTCCCTCTTAGGCCAATCTACACACCATTGTTGTCGTGACGGCCAATTCCCAACGCTCCACCTCTTCCAGTGGTAGCCACCGCAACTCGCGCCCAACATGGTCTTTTGCACATATTGTGGACAGTCGTTCACTAGAGACGAACATCTAGAACGTCATATTCTCACCCGTAAGTCACCCCTTCTTTTTTCGTTGCCCATCACTGGCCCGGTCCATCCACGCCGGAGTCTTCGTTGGAAACGTCCACTGACAACAATGGCCCAACAGATACCAATGTCAAGCCCTTCAAGTGCTTTACTTGCCACATGAGCTTTGCTCGTCGGTACGTCATGACTTCCTCTTCTCCGACATGCCCGAGTCTCCAAACTATCCGAGCTTCAGTGCTAATGAATCCTCTAGCGATCTATTACAGAGGCATTACACCGTCCACGGCCGCAACCAGAATAACGAAGAGGGTCTCCCGCCCCAAGGAATAATACCCAAGTCCGCTGGTCGCACACCCATCGCCTGCAGCAACTGCGCAAAGACGAAGACCAAGTGTGACAAGAAGTTCCCTTGTACTCGGTGCGCCCAGAGAAACCTAAAATGCACACTCCGGCCGACCCGGCGAGCGTCGAAAGGTGTGCAGCGTGTGGGAGGTTCGGCCGAAACTGCAAGTGGCGACTCGAGCGAAGGCGGGAGTACTACGGAAACCCAAAATACCTCCGACAACGTCTCGCCGAGCCACGAGGGGTCAACACAGCAAGGAAATGCACATTCATCTCCTGCCCAGATCTCGCAGCCATCACAGATTCCCAACAGTCAACCCCCATCGCAACGCCAGTCACAATCGCCGTCGGCGACACAATCACGGCATCCTTCCATCTCACAACCAGTGCAGGCACCACCTCATGTCAGCCCAGAGGACAAGGCTCTTCATCTTTCGCTTGCCAACACCCCTCCGTTTTTTGATAACCAGGCTCCTTCTCTTCTCTCGCCACTGCCGACTCCTGTCACCGGCATGAGTGCTTTCGTGTCGTCAACACCAATGTCCGGATACGACGACTTCGTAAGGACTGTACGGGATCATTCCGATAACGATAGTCCGCAGTACATGATGAATCCCTGGAACACCATACCTATGGACACAGGCTTCGACAACATGCAATTAGACCCAACCTTGATGCTTACCATGAGCATGGATATGAACATGAGGCAACCTCAGGACGCTATCCTTGGCATGATCCCAGAAATGTCTCCTACCCAGACATTCCAACCCATCCCGACACCCAGGGTGGACGAATCGTTTTCCGATCTCCAGATTGGCAGTTCAGCGTCGATGTACTACTCGCCAAATAGACATTCGTCCATTGCGGATGCTGGTATTCCCGATCTCGGTGCAATCATCGCGGCTCAGGACGGCTGGACGGTCTTCCGTTGCACTCCGTCTATTCCTTCCAACGCGTGTCCACGCACTGCACGGCTTAACCTCGAACGACTGGAGATCAGCCTAAAGAATCACGAAGGCTGGAGCAACTGGACGCCGTCATGGGACGAGAACGACTTCCAGCAAGGAGGCCAAATATCAGTGGCGAAGTTGCATGAAGCAACACGCGATAAGCTTCTCGCTATCACCCAAAGCTTCCTGCACAAAGCCCTCGACATCCACAAGGACGGCAGTAACTCGTCCAGCAGTGGCGAATCTCCCGGATCCACGGCTTCTCACTCCTCAAATTTCGTCCTCCTTCCGCCAGCTCGCGTTCTCGAGTACTTCCTCCAGTCCTATGCCAACTCTTTCGAACGCTATTACCCAACCTCTGCTAGGGGCGTCTTGGATACCAACGAGCTTATGCAGAACTACAACGACAAAGCATCGAGTTTGCTGATCCTTATGATGATTGCTCAAGGTGCCATGACGATTCCGTCGATAGAAGCGAGATGGCTAACCGGCGGTTTCACGGAAGCATGTCGCATCTCACTGTTCGACCTTGTTGAGAAGAATATCATAATGGCCGGTGACCCCATCGTGCTGCGTGCTGCTCTTCTCTTCACTGTCCAAGCGGCGTGGAGTGGCGACAAGTGGCAGATGGATATCGCCATGGGCCAGCGTGGTATGTATTTTGCGATGCTGCGACATTCGGGTATCCTTGACGTCCAACCGCCGGCGACTCCGCACATGAATGGGAGCATGACGACGGATGCGTTGTGGAAGGATTGGCTTCACCAAGAAAGCCGCAGTCGGTAAGTGCTGAAAATCTCGTCAGCCAGTCACGTGCAGTGCCCTTACTAATACTGCCGCAGCCTCATCTACTCGTGGGTCATGGTCGATCAAGATCTTTCGCTGTTCCACGACACTGCGCCCCTGTTCTCAGTAACAGAGTTTGGTGCGCCAATGCCCGACTCAGATCGTCTCTGGCAGGCACAGACCGCTTCCAAATGGTCTGACATGTTCAACCAAGTGCACGAATTCTCAAACGGCTACTCTTCGGTTGGCTCGGGAGCGAGACCACCTAGCCTGAGAGAACTCTTCCGTCACTTCCTGGACGACGAGATTGTTGTCCAGGATGTCCAGGAAATTCACCTCACACCCATGCACCTGCGTCTGCTGCTTCACCCCCTGCAGACTCTCGTTTGCCAGTTTTGCCAGCTTCTCAGCTGCTTCTCCGATAGTGTCACTTCCTCGCGGTCGCGGAACCGGGCGCTCACAGCAGCGTCGACGCGCGTTCGCCTCGAGGAGGTACAGAGCTTGTTGGGACGCTGGTACGATCTTGCGCAACGCTACATGAAGTCCAACCCCGTGTGTCCCATGATGCAAGCCAACCTAGTCATGTTCCACCTCATCAGCATGAACGCCGTCACAAACTTCCCTGAGATCGAGCGCCTTGCGCGACGAGAGGGTATAGACGGCACATACCAACAGATGCTGTGGATGCACAAGAAGTGCTTGTCAGATGTCCAGGAGGCCATCACACACGCTGGTCAAGTCCTGCGTCTCATCCGGGAAATGCCACGAGGCATCCGTCCCCCGTGGTGGGCAGGCGCAATCTATCGCGCCTCCCTCGTTATGTGGACCGACTCACTGACTCACAACGAGTCGTTGAGCCCCAACCAACAAGGAGGCTTTCAACCACCAAACACCGCCTTCTCAGTGGATCGTCTTCCTGCCGACCATCCAACCATCCTGAGATACATGTCCCGAAGGGAGGGCATTCCTACCCTCACCAAGCGGGACGGAGTCCCTGTTCCGTTGGACAACAGCTTCGCAGTTCTATCGCATTGTATTGAGCTCATCGACGAGGGCGTTGCAACCCGCTTCTCCGACGGCATCCGCAGCAAGCTCGAGAAGCTCGCGCGTGGCCAGTGAAGCGTGCCTCCCTTCTCTTCGTCTTTTGTTTTACTTTCAACAAGCGTATGTTGTATTAGCGGGAGTCTAGGACCCATTACATTATCTCTTCTCGTTTTTACCGATAGAGTTTCTTTAATCGACATCATCGCAAGATGCCTGGGAGCAATGGTGGGTTGGTGAATAAGGTCGGGATATCTTTCTTCTTGTGGTTTTGGGGGCGACTGGCGTTTGTCCAATGGCCGATGGGACACAAAATGGGAGTGTTGTCGGCGTCCGAGTGATGATCGTCTCGGATGTCTTGACATGCTTTTGGGTATTGAATCTGCCATGGAAGATACCTACACTTCCCTGCTGTGGGTTTAGTAATGTATAGTATGTAGATGATGTGTTTCATACGGACATCAACCATACAAAAGGAATAATACATCCGATTTTATTCACACTAGAGACTGTTGATGCTGGTGGTGACTGGGTGGTTGGCTGTTTGTCGTCGTCGGTGGCGGATGATATGGCTTGCTCGGCGAGAGAAGGGTGCGCAGTAAGTGGTATCGTGGTAAAGTCCAGGACCGATGCTAACACTCGACCACAGAAGACGATCTCTCCTCCTCTTATCATCTCAAGTTGGACGGCGGACATCGAGATGCGGGGCTCGGTTACACCAGCGCCGATGGGCGAGCGACAGTGACGGAGAAAAGCGTGTCTTTCCCTGACGGCTCGTGTGCGCCCACCCCATGTCAATACCCCTAACATTCTCATTCACTCTTGCGTAGGCGTTTCGTTATCCCATGTTATCCCGGTCTTTGCACCAGTCACCCATGGTATGTTGCTCGATCTCTTTATTTCTTTTTTTCATCATCCCACGCATGTGTTTCAGGTGTAAGCCCGGTGTGGGTTGAGCTGGAGAGGTCATTGGCGTCTTTTGTTGTTGGAGGCGTGAGAGCGGGGTCGAGTGCTGGCTGGACGGGAGCGGGCGTGTGCATGATGGGGATTGTTAAAGGCGGCACTGCGATGACGGGCGGGGTGTCTGGATATGAGGAGGAGGGGTTAGGGGATGTGAGGTATGGGATAGGTTGGTCTCTTAAGAGCCCGTTACGTTACTCGACCGACGGGAACGGAACAGTCCGGTAAACGAAGCCAAGCTTAAACATCCTGGTACAAATTAAGGGAAGAGAGAAGCCATGTGGAGAGTGAAAAACAATTAAAAACTCCGGTTGATATTTTCCGAGAAGTAGACTGTCAATCTTTTTTCCTTTAATGGATATCCATGGCGGTAATGAGGAAGGAGATAAGGACATAACCCACTTTTTTGCTCGGCAAGAGGAAAGGAGAACAAGGCGAGGCAAACAACTGAGGGAAGGAGCAAGGCACGTACCCTTAGCAAGATTAGCAAGAACCATTCCCCATCAGCAGTCCACTTCGCTTCTCCTCTTTCCCCGTACGCTACGCGGCTTCCCTCGTCACACCATGGAGGCGCCGCTCCAAGCTGCACATACTGCAGCCCTACACTAAGCCTCGTAAATTCAATATGTCCGGCCTGTTAGTTTAGCTTCAGCGAAGCCCGCCTAGTCGCTGGTCGTAGCTCCTCTTGGCTCCTAAAAACAGCACTGACATTCTCCGAGCCAGATTGGGGCACGGTACGCTTTGCTCACATACCTCACTACGGACATGGCACTGGTTGCAACCACAGCGTGTCGGCTCCGGCTTCCTAGATCTTGGTTCCTATCGGGAAGACAAGGTTAGTCACGTTGCAAGCGTTGTGTGTTTTTCCTTCTGGAAGGTAGGCAAAGATGGGTGTGCATGGTATATGGCACCGGTATCACAGTGAGAGAAAAGGCCGGTACCCAGGACGCGCCTCATCCTGCATGTGCGTTGCCTGACAAGCTTACGCGTTCCAGTCTGAATACGAGCAACTCGCCGCTCAAACATGACTAGAAAGACATAGTCATTACAAAAAACCGGATTATAACTGGCTCCTTCAAGCCCACAACACATGAGGAGCGGCACCACTAGGTCCGACTTTGGATGACTCCTTGCTGACAACTGATCGTCACCTGGGGGTCCTTTACCGAAATGCCCTACGACATCAAAGGCCGAGTCCAGTCATGACCACGGCTCTAGAGGGAAACGGCTTCAAAGCAGACGCAGGTGTGCATGACTAGATGGATTAACATTGCTGCCAAGCTTACGGATGCCCGCACGACAGCCGTAGAGCAAGTCAGTAAGGGTGTAATTTGCACCGTGCCGGGCATCGGACTTGTTTGTGTGGGTCCCTACATAGTCCCTTAGGCGTGTTGTGCATTTCCAAAGAAAGGACCCTTTGTGAGTTCCATACTCACGGAACGGTCGGGATGTCGGAGATTACGGACCCCGTTGGGCGCGCTGCCATGTGCCTCTTTTGCTGCTTCTACCAAAGAAACGGGGCCATGTGCAGGGACAGCACATGATCATAGTGATGTGTCGTGGAGTAATACTGGCGGAAACCCCGGTGCACAGTGTTGTATCATTGCGTTTTTGCCTTCGCCATCGGAGCCGAGCTGGTGTGCATGGCTAAGCTTCGGGGACTTCTTCCGGGTAGTATCCGAACGGTTCGTGCATCGTGAGTGGACGTGCATCGCTACAGTTGCTGTTTAGGCTCTCTCTTCACACATTGTGATACTATGTTTACGGCTTGGTCTCGGCGCCTACTGTCTCAGTATCCGTTGAAGCTTCGGCTTGGTCTGAGCTTAGCAACAACTCATCGTGAATGAAGCTTCACCATGCACACGACACAGATTTCAGGGTCGGCGGCTATGCACGACTTCAATGATCATCAGTAAGGTTGACTACATCCGATCGGATGAACAAGGGCCTGTGATGCTTGGGTACAGCAATTGCTCGTATGGAGCATCGGTTGACTTCAGCTTTCAATGCTGGCTGCTTGACGGGATACGGACTGAGGGGAGAGCGAAGGCCATTCAGGCATAGTCTAAGTAATACTCGTCGAAGGAGCCTCATGAAACGCACTGTGACTCACCTCATTCGGACAGGAAAGCACGTTTAATTTGGTGATCTGCACAGTGATTGCAAATCTCCAAAGCCGTGATAGCAATGTCCTACGTGGTTGACAGGGCACGGTGGACGTCACGATAGAAGCGGCCATGTACCCCATGAGACGGTCTGGCCCGCTACAAGTGACGCAATGGCCGATTATCTCGATCCCTTTGTCACAATGTCATGCTGCCGAAGTGCCTGTGCGCGGCGGTTCATCGCACCTTCCGAATAACGATTCTCCATCGACCAAATGACACAGAATCAGTACATCTTGTGTAACCATCTTCAATATCATTCAGCTTTGCAGCCACCGTCCAGTCGACCGCACCGGTACATGCGTAACACTCAAAGCCGGCATAACGTTTGGAGGTACGACGTCTGCGGCACAGCGGTCAACAGCTATACCGATGCCTCCGTGCCGTGTGAACGCAATATCGGCCCATTCTCCGCGCCTCAACGCCATTGAACAGCAGCAGCGGAGGCGTTCATGTAACACATCCACAGCTGTGCCGTCGATAAGGCACGACATGGCAGCCAAAGACGCGATTGTAGCTTACAACACTCCTCAACGTCAGCGCTGAAGCACCATGCCGCCGTCCAGCTACACGCTCGGCCGATCATGAACATGTAATCTGCATCAACCAATATCCAGTCACGTCGGTGCCATTATCTCGCTTCAGCCGCCGTCTGATCGTATTCGAATCTATATTAATATAAGTGCAGGAGCTCCTATCTCCAGCCCAAAACAACCGGTAAGTCCTCTTTGTTGAAGATGCAGTCAGCTCGCAATGCAGCAGGCTGAAGGTTGGCCATTACCATTTTCATCACTACCACAGGGTGAAGATGAAGTGAGGTGTGAGGCGGTCGCAAGCGGTGTGCGTCGGCGGATCCCCACTGTGGAAGGCCGGCAAACGCAAGTGGGTGACTGCGACACTCTGGCTCTTGGCTGTGTGGCAACACAAAGGACGCTCCCGTTGACCGGATCATGTCCGGACTCTACGGCTCTCAGAGAGAGACCTATGAGAGTTGGACATGGGGAGCCATGGGCAACTTGGCATACTGAAAGACGGTGTTGTAGAGGATGATGATGCGTTGCCGGGACCCTGAGGGAGCCGGCAAGCCTAGCCGCTTTGGGAACATCACATGATGACACCTTTTGGATCTGGACGGTGTTCGCAAGGCTGGTCATCAGCGGCAACTTTGGACTCGTTGTCTTGCACTGTGAAGTAAGGATAAGCTCTAGAGATGATTCATTTGGTATGGAGATTCAGGTTTACCAGTAAAACCCATGTTTTCTGGAGAATATCAATGACAGCTGTCGCACCCGGATTCGGAAATCGGAAATCGGAATCACTTGCAATGTCATCCTTCTTCACGAACAAAACCACCAACATGGTCACTAAACACACGTTCAATCGGAAAACATACTTCTGCCGTTGTGAATGAAACACCAGAAGCTTCACGACAAACGAAAAACTGCAAGCATGGTGTTGTGCAGTCCGATCACATCGCACTCGGCCGTAGTTCGGCCCCTCAGTCCGGCCGTCCCTGATGCGGCTCAGGATCTCCTACGGGGGGCCCAGACCGCGGAACAGGCAACGCGGGCGCAGGTACACGGGAGTTTCAGCCCTAGGGAATGGACAATGTCCTTGGGGGAGAATGGCAATGTGCCGGACAGAGTGGGTGGGGGAAAAGACACATGTGGATTCGAGACACAGAGAGGGAGAGAGAGTAGAGTAGTGCGTACACCACAGTAAAGGAAAAGTCCGCTGGAGTCCCGCAGAGTATCCCGAATGAACAAATGGGTATATATATGATTGTTGTTTGAGCAGTGGGAAACATTCATCATCATCACATCAGCTCTCTCATCTACCACTACCACTACAGTCCTCCAACCTTTACCATCAATCAACACATAAACTCATATCACATACAATATGGCCGCCAACATTGAGCAGACATGGAGCCTCGCTGGCAAGGTTGCCGTTGTTACCGGATCCGGTAAGCAAAATCTCCCATATAAACGTCTCTATCATCTCGATAGCAACTAACCCACGCATGCAGGCCGCGGAATCGGCAAGGCCATGGCCATTGAGCTCGCCAAGCGCGGCGCTAAAGTCGCCGTCAACTACGCCAACGCAGTCGAGGGCGCAGAAGCCGTAGTCAAGGAGATCAAAGCCCTAGGCAACGGCTCCGACGCAGCGGCCTTCAAGGCCAACGTCGGAAACGTTGAGGAATCCGAGAAGCTCATGGACGACGTAGTCGCGCACTTTGGCAAGCTCGACATTTGCTGCTCAAACTCCGGTGTCGTATCTTTCGGCCACTTCAAGGACGTTACACCCGAGGAATTCGACCGTGTCTTCACCATCAACACTCGTGGCCAGTTCTTCGTTGCTAAGGCGGCGTACAAGCGCATGGAGATGGGTGGAAGGATTATCCTCATGGGATCAATTACTGGCCAGGCAAAGGGTGTTCCTAAGCACGCTGTTTACTCTGGATCAAAGGGTGCTATTGAGACTTTTACTAGATGCATGGCTATTGGTACGTCACATCCATTTACCCATTCTCACTTACACCTTCATCGTACTAACTCGCCCCATAGACGCCGGCGAGAAGCGGATTACCGTCAACTGCGTCGCCCCCGGTGGCATCAAGACAGACATGTACCACGCTGTATGCCGCGAGTACATTCCCGGTGGTGACAAGTTGTCCGACGACCAGGTCGACGAGTACGCTTGCACATGGTCCCCTCACAACCGTGTTGGTCAGCCAGTAGACATTGCCCGTGTCGTCTGCTTCTTGGCCTCGCAGGATGGTGACTGGGTTAACGGAAAGGTCATTGGTATTGACGGTGCCGCTTGCATGTAAAACAATATAGTGATTTCTCCTTTTCGTCAAAATATCTGGTCGTGTGGTCTGGTATCAGCTGGACACGCGGACTGGGTAGGGAATTTGTAGAGGTACACAATGATATCTCCGAAAGTTTCAATTGCTGCTTTATTGTATGATGAGTGACAATCTCCGTGTTCTTTATATGGTATTCTTGGTTTTCCCCTGTTCTATGGATCAACCGTTCTTTCCGCTGTAGCTCATGATTCGTTTTGCGTATCCGCTGGTATCCATCATACTATAAACTAGAGCAATCATCTATCCAACACCCACAAAGCTGACCCACTGCTATGGCTGGCAACACTGAAATAATAGTTCCTTACTTCTACGTCTTAAAGCGGCTGTAGGGACATTGAAATTTGCATCAGACTTTACTATTAGTTATCCCATCTCATCTATTCTCTCAAGATGTCCACAGCGGTCAAGTGCTGCACCAACCTTTGCTTTTCTGTCTTTCCTGTCATAATATATTGGGCAGGTCATACAAATAATACGGTATCCACTTGACTGTCACAGTCGCTTCTTCTATCAGCCAAATTAGGACAACAAGTCGTGCTCTGAAAATCGAATGGCCCTGTGAACTCTGAAAAGAGTCTGTAGATACTGCATACTCTATTTCCGCGATATCCATCTAAGTCACCACACTCTTTTTATATCTTCTCTTTCTGCTATCAAATGTCACCTGTCCTTGAAAACCAACACGATGCCTCAGTATTCTAGTCGACCATTCACCTGGCCCTTCCAGAATAAGCCATACCAGACATATGCCCTTTGCACAACCCGCTCCCACATCCTCAAACAGAACAACCCCATGACCTTCCAAAAATCTTCAACTCCAGATGCAAACACGCCCCACAAAACGACATCTCTTTTCAGTTTACCGACCTACCTCCCCTTACCAAACCAGCACAACAACAACATCATCATCATCATCTCCATCCCGCGACAAAGTCACCCGCTCTTTATCCCTCTACTTCAGAAAACTAAGCCCACAAACCCAGGTCACGCTCCATCCCCCATTTCCAAACATAGCAACCTCGACATGCTTCCACCCCATCGCCCATTCCAGAAAAAATACGCCTCCCTCAACAAAAAGGAAAGCACGCGTGGTCGTTACGTGTGCCAGGAATGAAACCGCAACGATTTGGCGAGGGATGGGAGGAAAAGAAGCCTCGACTCCACCTACCTACCTACCTACCTACCTACCTTTCGCTAACAAACCAAGGGAGAAAATCACCAGCGATGCGTGCATTGCGTTTAAATGAAGCCGACATATTCTCTCTATCTCTCTCTCTCTCTCTCTCTCTACTCACTTTTTGATAAATCACCATCGCAAGATTGTTTATTTGTCTGTCGTTACAAAGAACCCAAACCTACGTTGAAGATGATGGTATGTTCTGCTTTCCCCCCTTCCTCCCCCCCGTCCTTCCCACTCTCCCTTCCTTCCTTCCTTCCTTCCGAGCGATACACATGTACCATCGGTTAACCCACATAGTACGCACGGTCCCTGCCTAATTGGGCAGTAACTGTGACTTTTACGCTCTTTCTTCTTACCGCTGCTGTGCAGGCGCAGGAAGCGCCGAGGGGACAGGGTGGTGATGGATGTAATTGGTATTGTTGGATTGAGGAGAGAATTGCGCGGTTGGAGAGGTTTATGGTGAGTTTTTTGTTTTGGGATGGTGAGAGGGAAGACTGAGGGTAGTGGTAGGATGACGGAGAAGGAGGAAGGAAGCTAACAAGATGATTTAGTTAACGAATGGCGATATTCCCCCGTTGGTGAATGAGACGAGCTTCACGGGTACGGCGGTATCTGAACCGGAACCTGTAGAGACGAGTGGTGCGAACTATTACAGCACTACCTTTGGGACACCTGGATTACCGTATATCTCTACGCTTGCTCCAGCCGAGCCTTCAACTTCCATACCCAGCAGTAACGAGATCGTCCAAGCCTTCACGTTCAGTCCAGCCTCATACGCAACACCGTCTCCGACTACTCCCCAACCCTCATCGACACTCCTCACCCTCATCCCATCGCACGAACCGCTAGCCCAACCAGCCAATTTCACCCACGCCGGCTATCGTGCAGTAGCCTACTACGGAAACTGGGACATTTACAACCGTAACTACCAACCGCAACATATCCCCGCTTCGAAACTAACCCACCTCCTCTACTCGTTTGCGATTGTAAACTCAAACGGCACCGTCTTCCTCACCGACACCTACGCCGACACGGACAAGCACTACAGCACCGACTCACGGAGCGACGCGGGAAACAACGTCTACGGCAGCATCAAACAACTGCAACTTCTCAAAGCCTCGAACAGAAACCTCAAGGTCCTGCTCAGCATCGGCGGGTGGACCTACACCAACACGAACCGGGCCATGGACACGCCCACATCGAGCACGCACGGAATCCAGCGCTTCGCCGCCTCGTGCGTCCAGCTCATCCGCAATTACGGCTTCGATGGCGTTGATATTGACTGGGAGTACCCGTCCACAACGGAGCAAGGAAGCGCCTTCCTCGCGCTGCTGCAAGAAATTAGACGTCAAATGGACGATTATGCAAACACGCTGGTATACGGGGATGATTTTGGACACGAGATGAAGCCGAGCTTCCTGTTGAGCATTGCGGCGCCGGCGGGGGAAACAAACTACAGGAACATGCCGCTGCGCGAAATTAGCCGGGTTACGGATTTTGTTAATTTAATGGTATGTCTGTTTTGGCCATGATTTTTGGGCGTGTGCCGGAATTGGCACGGCGGTTCTTCTCATTTTCCTGGTTTACTGACTTTTGTTGGGATATTGCAGACGTACGACTATGCCGGTTCTTGGGATAATGTTACGGGACATGCCTCGAATCTGTATGCGTCGGCTGAGAACCCGCTCAGTACGCCATACAACACCGCGTCGGTACTGGCCGCCTATTATGCAGCCGGGGTCCCGCCTGCCAAGCTGAATCTGGGCATGCCTCTGTACGGCCGCTCCTTCACGAATACCCAGGGTCTTGGGCTGCCGTACAACGGCATTGGCATAGGCTCTTGGGAGGCGGGTGTGTACGACTTCAAAGACTTGCCGTTAGCCGGTGCCCAGGAGTTTTACGATGCAGAGGCGGGTGCGACGTATAGCTATCACAATGGAAGCGGTATGCTGGTGAGTTACGATACTGTGCCCATGGCGCTGCGCAAGGTAGTCGACCTTGCGCAGCAGCGGCTAGGTGGGGCAATGTGGTGGGAGATTAGTGGTGACAGGATGGACGAGGGGAGCATTGTGTCAAACGTGAGTCGCCTGCGCCTCCGCGTGATTGTGGAAATGAGTCAGTGAATGTGTGTGTGTTGATGTTTGAACCGCAGGGTTGTCCAGAAACTTGGGGGCGTGAGTGGCGCTAACATGGAGTCGTCGCCGAACTGGCTGCTCTACCCCGACTCGCAATTCGACAATATCCGAACTGGAATTTCTGGTGCGCAGGCACAGGGACTTGGCCGACTTTGAGTAATTGTCAGCGTCAATAAAGGTTGTGTAGACAAAGTCAGGCGACGGGAAGCTAGAATCGCGTAGATTATGGGCGATCACCGCGGATAGACGGTAGGATAGTGCATTGGTGGCGTTTGCAATTCATGCATTTCATGGTGGAAGTAATATGACTTGTCATGTTCCCTACCAGTGAGGTCCTATCGGTTATTGCCAAGGTGAAACGACGTGGAGAAAATGGACTTTTGCTGCAGCTGCGTGACACAGTTGCAGCAGTGTTTGAGGCTCTGCTGTTCCTGGCGCTAGGTAGGCTGGGGCAGGAAGCGATACCGCATGTGGCGTAGATCTCCTCCGATATATTGGCATCTAGTCGACTTGTACGATTTGATCGGCTGTGGGACTGCAACGTCAGGGAGAAGGACATGTCATTTTACGAGTACAGCGGATGTGCTAATGCTGACAGATAGTCGTTGGATTTGCGTGGTACCTGAGCGCATGAGGGCCAGGGTGTGGTAGCGGCGCCCGTGTATGCGGCATGGCGAATCATATGTACAGAATTTGGATGCCCAAGCCCGTCCATGCAGCAAAAGTAATAGTAACATGTATGATATAGCGCCAAAATGCGCCCGTACGGTTTAGCGATTTACAAAGTGGACACCAGAATGTGTCGCTGCTACTGCCTCCTTACCTGTTCTGGCGAGCAGGCATCCGCGGGCGGGAGTAAGCGCTGGTAGCATTGCTCGCCCATGATGGTCGAATCTCTATGCTCGAGAAACGTGCGTATCCGCTCGTCCCGGTCCCCGCTGGCGCTGAGGGTGGCGTTCTTACTGCGGCGGTACTCCATACTCGCCTCACGGTGTATCTGGTCGCGGCGCTCAATGGCCGAGTTGTTGAAAGTGGAGAAGCGGGTGCCCTGTACGACGCCGCCAATGCTGATGAAAGCAAAGATGAGGGCCATGAAGGTGAAGTTTGACATTTGGACAGTGCGGTCGTCGTCAGCAGCGTGATTGCCGCCGTCATTCTCGTAATGCCAGCGCTCCCAGTCCTCCCAGGTTGCATTGCTGCGGGGGTCCGTCGTCCAACGGCGCGGATCATAGTCCCAGTCGTTATGCTGGGCAGCAGCGGGCGTGTTGTGGTGGCCCGCCCAGCCATGGCCCCAGATGTCGTATGCTTTGCGCTTCTCAATGTCGGAGAGGATGTCGTGGGCCGTAACTAGCATTCGATAGCGCTCGAGTCGCACGTGGAGTGGTAGCTGCGCTATGGCGGGTGAAGCATGACAGGCGTCTGGGTGATATAGTTTGACGAGGGCATAGAAGCGGTGCTTGGTGTAGGCGTCACCGCGCCGGCAACGTAAGATCTGATAGGGCGTAGGGGTCTTGTGCGGCTTCTGGGCTTCAGGCCAGCGTAATAACTCTTGCTCAGGGTCATGACTGCCGCTGTTGTGCTGGTGCTGGCGATGCTGCTGGTCGTGGTTGCCGTCGTGGTGTTGTTGTGCGTAGTGGCGGCGGAATGTATGACGGCATGACTTCCGCGCGTGCGAAGTCTTCTGCTGCAGCGGATGACCGCATGTCAATGGAGTCAGATTAGCACATGACGAGAACAACCAGATGGACGGCTTCCTTGACAGCATTTGCGCATTGCTCCAAGCGCAGATGTCAATCCGCAGCTTGTGTCGGGGGTTCTGGCAGCACGTGTGGGGTCGGAGGGTCGATGTCGCAGGGTCGCAGGGTCGCAGGGTCGCAGGGTCACTGGGTTGGTGCGCGTCAGCCGTCAGACTGCGACTCTGGCCTCCGCTGGCCTCCTCTGGCCTGGCTCCCAGCCTATTCCGCGCGCTAAACCACTCAAAGTTACAGGGACGGTGCGACGCGGTAGAATGCGAACAGGAGTTGTTGTTCCAACCTCGCTCTCGCGCCTGGCGATCAACTCCGACGACGCCGTTGTCTCAGGCCAAAAGCCTGACATGCAAGTGCGGTCTCTTCCGCCCCCCTCCAGTTGCTCAGAACCGCCGGCGGTGGGCCCAAGCTGCTCCGCGATTCATTCTGCTGTTTGACGTGAACTCCTTTGCCCTCGCTTGCGCATGCCCGCAAACACTGCCCCTGCAGCCATTCCAACTTTCGGGACTGACTGCATGAACCGCACCCTGGAACCACTTTGTCTTTGTCTTCCTCAAAGTGGGTTACCTGTGGGGAGGGGCCATCCTGTCTTGTAAAGCTCGTGTGTTATCACCGTCGAGTGCGCCACTCCCGCCCTTTCATTCCCACCATCCCACCACTCCTTCAGCTGTCTTGACTTGAAGACGGCCCTTTCCGCTCCTCTAACTTGTCTGACACTTTCATCCTTCTTTCTTGTCTCAAACTTTCATGTTGGCTACTGCACACCTCCAACCTTCTCTCTCACCCCTCACACTCACACACCCAAACTAAGCAATGCCTCACAGTAATGCTTCCAACGGATTGCCACGTGAGGGCTACTTGAACCTCACACGGCGCATGGAGAATGAAGAGGACGACCAGTTTGACGTTGACCTGACCATCCTTGACTTTCTCGTCTACAAGGCTATTGGTCTGGTCTTTGAATGGAGGTCAAGTAGTGATCCCTATCACTCTGATCTGCCAAACGCCCTCGTCAACATGACGGCTGGTAAATATCTGCCTCCCAGTATCCCAACACTCGCTAATGTCTTCGAGATTGGCGGACGTTCCTGGGACACAGGCATCAAGGTCGGCGTTTAGATGCGAAAGCATCATTCAGATCTCGCCTCTTGCAATTCTCTCTCATCTTCACCCACAGACTGCACCACGGAGAAACCTGGACCACAGAAGAATCTCTAAACATACTGCGAGAGCAAAACAAGAGCCGTGGCGACTATTGGAAACACCGAACCCAGCACTCACCAGCATTATCCCAGCCGTTTGACCAGCAAAAAGACTTTCCCTTGTCAGATGGCGCTCTATACGAAAACCGGTCCGAGCTTGCGTCGGCGTTGGGAATGCCTCTCGACCAACGGCGTTGGGTAACAGACGTGGCAGGCACGCCTTCACTTCACTGCCTCCTTCCCGTCTTCATCGAGCTCACAGCCGCACGCGTGAATCTGGACGATGACTGGGTTCCATCATCAGAATGGTTCGACCTAGCAGGCCAATTCATGCTGCAAGCCGTGATCGGCGAGTATCTCCGCAACGGTGCATACGGCGAAGAAACATTCAACACAATCTTCGCCTATGGATGTCCTGGAGTCGAGCGCTGGGCCGAAGAGCCAGCAGACGTAGCCGCTATGCGCCGTCTCTTTTGCGATGAAGGCAACCTCCGCCAAGAAAACCGTGCGTGGACAACCGTCAAGCGCCAGTACATCAAGGAGCTCTTACCCCAAAGTCGGTCGCAGACGAGTCTACAGGCACTGGAGGCTGCACAAAGGCGGTATCCATATGCTGCTTTTGAAGAGCAACTACTTTCATTCCTCAAGTACCTCCACGACGGGCTCGTCAAGCCTGACCTCGCACAAGTGGAAGAAGGCCGCATCAACATCGACGGCACCGAGCTTTCAGAAGCAGACTCACGGGCCATGATCCAACGCATGGGTCTATGATACCACCATTACCCCGACACCCTTATTTCCCTTCTCTTCTCTGCATCCCGCGAGTCTCTTGCTTTACATTTTTAGCGCAACACCTAGTTCATGTTCCATATGCCTTGTATTTGTTCTTCTTCATCACTTCACGCCTGCAGCCATTGTTCACCTTTATTTACTTACTTCATTCTCATCCAACGCGAACTCCTTTCGTCTGCAAACCTGGATATACATATCCTGTATCAACAAACAAAAAAGTTTCGACGACTTTTGTATGTATTCATGAAGCCGCCGCCGTTCTGAACGGGGATGGCACGGCACGGGACACGGACACCAACGGACGGACGGCTTTCTTTTTTTGTTGTATTGTAAAAACATCTTTCATATATACCCACGTACAATTCACGCAACACCTACATTACATACATACATAAGTCTGCAAGATTCGGATTAATGGTTATGTAGTAAGAAAAAACCGCATTTTTAGATGTAGGTCATCATTTGAATCAATCATACACACAGTGCTCTGCCGCCGCTGTCTCCATCGTCTCCATACCCCACATCACCGCATCCAAACCAAGACCAACATCGAACGACTTGGGCATCAGCCCTATGCATGTACGCGCGGCATGATGTGCATAAAGAACGCAAACGCAAACGCAAACACCCCTCTCCCGCGCCTTTACGGGAAAATATTACGCCGAGAGGGAGGGCCTGCCTTTTCTTCACATGAACGCGCACCCGGGTGTCATAAAATACTGGGACATACTAGTGTAAAAAAGCCACTGTAGTTGGCCAGACACGTCTATTAGGTGCTTACTTACATTACCCACAGTGTCCAGTATTTTACATATGTCACCCAGGTGCGCTGAAAATAGAGTTTGTTGTGGAAAAATGTCACTGTCTCGCACAACAACCGGGTTCCTGGATGAATTAAACCCCCCTCCCCCCCCCCCCCACATACGAGAAATTCCACGTGCCGGATGCGGGTATGGATGCGAGGGCGTGTCAAGTGGATACGGGGGGGTTTTTTTTTAGTTGTTTCTCAGATTGGATCCGAGCAAAATTGGAGTGGAAACTATTCTTACATATTTACATATGTACATACACACAAACACCCATGAAATTTGAACATGCGCGAGCCAGGGATAGCTAGCGTTCAACATACCGATGACGACGCCCCCATGTCCCCAAACCTAAACCTAGATACAAGAAAAAAAGCAGCCCTAAAAGGCGATAGCCGAAGCAGCTGAAACAATGCAGGGGAGAGCAACAAACGACGAAGAGATTTTTTTTCTTCTCCCACCCTCGAAACGAGTTACCCTCTGTGATGCGAGGTGCATGAGAAGAAAAAAAAGAGAGAGAGAGGAAAAGAAAACATGTTCTCAAACAGCAGAATACACGGCAGTACAACCCCTGCCACACTCGACTTTTTGCTCAAACTCCACCGTCCGCCCGTTGACCTTGACCTTGTTCCTGGGTGTGATTTGGAACCGATGCATTTCTTTTTCGCGCAATTGTTTGCCGTACGACAAGGAGCCCGCCGCTGCGGCCGCTATGGCAGATGCAGCTCTTTCCTGTTCTGCGGCTTGATCGAGGGGCTGGATGTATGCGGGGGTAGCAATGTTATTTCGCTTTCCGCTGCCGATTTGGTAGAATTCGTTGTTGCCCCAGAAGAGAATGTCGCGGCCCCAGTTTGTGTCGTTGTCTGTGAGTTTTCTTGATTTGCCGTTTACCACGACGCTGGCCACGTTGTCGAGGATGGCGGCGGCGTGGGTGGCGCCGACTGAGATGGTGGAGAGGCGGATGGGGATGGCCGTGTTTTTCATCTCGTCCCATTCGAAGAGGCCGGAGAAGGCGGGGACTTTGACGGGGTCTGCTTGTGTGTGTACCCAACGACCGACGCCCAATTGACCAGTTAGACCGAAGCCAAAAGCCCATGTGTCTGCTGTTGTCTTGTTGCCCTTGGTTGCTTCGACGGCCAGGAAGGATGTATTGCCGCCTGCGAAGACGTTGGTCACCTTTCCCTGCTGACCAGAGTACAGCTTCTGTGTCGGTAGTAGCGATGGTGCGTCAACAAACTGCGCTTCAGCATTGTAGGGAAACCCAAGTTGGCCGCAGGTGTTGTCACCAAAAGTGAAGGCTCGCCCTTCGGAATCGCAGACTAGACTGTGGTAGTCGCCGGTTGCAATCTTCTTGACCGGGAAGCCTTTGAGTGTGGTAATCTCATGCGGCACATCAAAGGCACCAGCAGGCCGACTCTCCCATGTCAGTCCAGGTATGCCCATCTGCCCCTTGGAGGGGAAGTCTTGTGAGCCTGAAGCGAAGGAGAAGACACGGCCAGTGGAAGTAAGCATGAGCGCATGTTCAAGGCCGGAAGAGATGTCGGTAACAGTCTCGCTCCAGCCAAGTTTCTCAGGCGTGCGGGTGCGGTAGGATATGTTGTTAGAGCCACCCCAGAACGGAATCCAGGATGAAGATGGTGGTTTCGGGCCATCCTTCTGCTCCGCCTGCGATACGGGTATCGAGTACACGGCGCCACTGGACGACAGTCCGATAATGCGATCGCGCGATATAGCTAGCGATGTGAGATTCCGACCTGTCAGGGTCTTTGTTGGCTCGGTAATGTTCTCCGCGAACGCTGTGCCCCATTGCAAAAGATCGCCCTTCTCATCTATGGCCGCACCGAAATTTCTGTCGAGCTTGATGTCGCGCAGCAGCTTTCCGTCAAAGAAGCTAAATCGCCTTGGTGTCTTTATGAACTTCTCATCGGAATCTGGCGCAACGACCTTGCCCGAGTTTGACCCCCATGTATACACGCCGGGATTCTCCCAGCTCTTCACCACTTGGAGATGCTGCGAACTGATAATATTCCTATTGTCGTCGCTCGATGTTGCTTGCCGCCGAGGTGCTTCAAACTTCAGCTCCGGTTCCTCTGGCTTTTCCAGCTCCTCAGCGTGCGCATCTCGTAAGATCGACTCTCCACTGCACCAAGTGTATGCGGTGGCGGTGGCCCACAGTGCGCCAACAGTGGCCACGGATCGGACGAAATGCTGCTGTCGACGCTGGGCATATGGATGTGCCGCCGTGCGCACCTGGGATCGCGGGGCTCTGGTGGCTACATTTCTACATAGCTGCGGGGCACGAGGCGTTCGTAGTGTTGCGCGCGATAGACATTTGGCACTGAGCATGGTGTGTGTGTAAGGGTGGTGGGGTAGTAGCAAGGAACGACCCAAGGGTGTCGAGAAATTCAAGAGAATAATCGTCGCAACATGTTTGAATCCAAAGGTCCGATTCTGGCTACTAGTATTGGTAATTGCGTAGCTTTGATAGCTTCTCGAAATCGTAGCGGCATGATCAATGACGACCTAGACTTTCTCCACATCTGACAAGAACACTTGTACATATCGGGTTAGGCCACTTCCCAGACCCCCACGGCCGAGCTCCGACATTGAAGCTTGCGTGGTGTTTCCGGCTCCTGCAAGGGAGTTTCTAGTAAAACAGCAGAATTGCGCCAGAATGTACGAGGGAGACTCTTGGTACAATGCCTTCGTGCCGCGCACGGCAAAGCCCCCCGAAAAGGCAAAGCACCGGCGGAGAGAGAGCCTGCTCAAACAGGAAAACGTAAGCCCACCATCCGTCGCATGGGTACGTTTGAGCACTTCTGATGATTGTATCTGCAGGAGAGTCAGGCTGACTTGGAGCGCGTAGAAGCCATCCCGGAGACGGTAGAAGAGGAGACACTGGGGAAACTCAATGGCCCCCCACCTGCCACCGTGGCCAGACGCGCCAAATCCTACAGTGACTTCTATACCGTTGTGCGCGCGCATTTGAAGAAGGAAAAGGCGCTAGAAAAGAAAAAGTCGAGGGAAGACATCAGCACCGAGCTGGAGTTTGCCGAATGGTATGGCGGAGTTAGCGACGAGCTGCTTGAAGCCAGCCATGAAGAGTACACGCTCTATCAGAACCAGCTGCGCATGACGCGGAACCACCTTGAGAACATCATCTCTGATACCTCGTCCACGCTCGATATCCTCTCCTCGCTCTCCGAATCCTTCAAGATTGTCGAAGCCCAGACAAATGCCTTCCGCACCCAGTGTGAGGGCCTGATCGACGACCAGAAGCGCATAACGAAACTTGCAGACGACATGGAACAGAATCTACGATACTATCTGTATCTCGAGCCTACAACCAAACGCCTTAATGCTCCAGGCGCGGGCAAGATCGTGCGTGGCAGCGAGTTCGTCGAGATGCTGGCAAATCTGGACAGCTGCTTGGAATACATGCAGGCGCATTCGAAGCACAAGGAGGCGGAGACATACCGGTCGAGATACCGCTTACTCCTCACCCGTGCTCTTACCCTTATCCGCGTTCACTTTACAGAGGCACTTCGAGAGATTGCAGCTGACGTGGCCAAGAGAATCGCCGATAGACAACTGAACGACACCACCATGTCCGCCTTGCTATACGCCAAATTCCGCGTCGGTGCGCCAGAGCTGAAGAGCATAGGGATGGAGATACAAAAACGAGCAGTTCTACCCCCTGGAGCTGCGCCAGGTGGAGAAGCAGAGTATCAGAGTCTGATGAATGAGCTGTACCAAAGCTACTCAACTACCCGCGGGCGCCTCATCCTACCAATCGTAACCAAAAAGATTGGAGAAATCGCACAAGCTCCAAGTACCTCGACCGATTTGGTAGCTTTTGCTCGAAGCAGCATAAGCTACATACGCGGTATATGTTTTGACGAGTGCGACTTATGGCGTGAATGGTTCGAAGGCGATGGTGGCCTGTACGACTTTCTGGAGGCTGTCTGTGAGCCTTTGTACGATTATCTCCGACCGCGAACTATCCACGAGACACAAATCTTGAAGCTCTGCGAATTATGCACCATGATACAAACACGATACATGGAAGAAGATGAAGAGGATTCACCTGTCGAAGCAAACAAACTCGACTTTACCGTCATAGTACACCCTGCCCTGGAAGACGCGCAAAATCGATTAGTGTTCCTATCTCTTGCAATACTACGGGACGATATTGAACGCTACAAGCCAAAGCCAGGGGATCTTGATTATCTCGCAAAGAACAAGAAGCTAGCCGCCTCAGGAGCCAAGTCAAACCAGCCAGCATTGTCTGGAAAAAAGCAACCAAAGTCCGAACTTCCACCTACCCCCTTGCCAAAAACGCCCACCATTGTCGAGGAAGACGATCCCGATGCTGGATGGAACTTCAACACTGAAGCTGCGTTCAAGGATTGGTATCCTACATTGCGGAAAGCAATTTGGCTGCTCAGCAAGATCTACAGACTTGTTCATGTATGTCAGCGCACAGTTTGTCGTGAGTGTCATGCTAATGTGCCATTTAGTCGTCCGTCTTCGATGATCTAGCCCATCGTGTTGTGCATAGTACCACATTGTCACTCGTACAGGCTAGCACTCTCCTCACCAAGTCTGCCTCGCCTACAGATGCCGCTCTCTTCCTAGTTTCACACCTGCTGTTGTTGAAACAACAAATTGTCGCGTTCGACATTGAGTTTGTCACGCCCGAAACTACAGTGCAATACAACTTTTCCAGCGTCACAGAGACCTTTTGGGAGCTCCGTGCTCGTGGCGGTCTATTCAACCCGCGTAACCTCGTCGGCCTACTCATTCCAAAGGTCGTGGAGAACATGTTGGATGCAAAAGCAGAAGTGGATGCTCGTCTACGACAAGCCATCAATGACTTCACCGGGCAATTCGTGAGCAGAATGACGGCACCAATCGAGATGAAGAACAACAAAAAGGTACCACCAAACGAAGCGCCAGCCCGCGCAAGCAAGATACGGCAGAATATCGAGCATGAAACACCATTCCTAAGATCAAAACTCGAAGAGTACATCACCGACGCGCGCACCCGCGAAATGCTCGTAGCAGCCGTCATGGAATCTGTGACTCAGAAATACGAAGATTGGTACGACACATCCTACTCACCATCGATTTCAACCCAGAACGGCGCCAGTAGAGGTAAAGGCAAGGGTAGGGAAGACGGGGTCTGGGATCCAGACGTGTTTAGCGAATGGTGCGCGAACGTCTTCAAGGTGGGGACGCTGGGTTTGGGTATAATGGATAACGGGCAGGAAGACTATCAAGACGAAGATGATAGCGATACGGATAGTATGGGCGCTGCTAGTGGTAGGACAGGAACTGATAGGATGGGTAGCTCGGGGTTGAGGATTAAGATGTAAACGCTGTTTAGAGGGGGAATATGTGATGCATTCATCTCACTCTCCGTCGCTTTGTTAGTATGCAACTACGGAGATTTTGTCAAGTCAACCCAAACCTGATATGCGTGAACATCGCAGACAGCCTTAGAGAATAGACACTGGGTCGTCAAGTTGAGCAGCAGACAACCAAACCAAACCGTTCTTTAGCGTTCATATGATTGAAATAAGCTATTCATCCTCCTCCAACCAGGAGAAAAGGCCTCAAAGTTAGCCAAGGAATAATGAGAAGATGAGAAGAAGAAAAGAAAACGCCATTCCAATGTATGCAGATACAGCATGGGACAGACCCTTTTAAACCCTAGTCCAATTCCCCATGCACGCCAAGAAAACGCCTTGCTATGCATGTATACATACACCTCAATACCTCCTTCGCTCATGTGGATATCCCATTCCCGTCAGCTATAGCGCACAAAAGGTCTAACTGCGTAGAGCAATCATATGTTGACAATACCACGCCGTCATCATAGAAAGAATACGTCCATCTACGCAAATATACACACACAAACACACACGCGCGCGCAGACGACGTCATCATCTCACCGCCGTTTCTAAGAAGGCGAGCCGGCGAAAGAAGGGGTAGCAGGAACGACAGTAACAGGCGAAGCAGCACTTGCGTCCCTGAAAGTATCGTTTTGCTTCCTCTGGCCGTTGAGGAGGGGGCAGAGCCTGGAACAGTGTTGTTAGTATATGTATTCAATGGGGTGAAAGTTAGGGTAAGGGGATTACGCACTTCTTGTTGGTCTTGATGTGGCCAACCTCGCCGCAATTGGCGCACTTGCGAGGTGTAGCTCCACCTTTTCCTGGTCCACCTGTTGCACTGGCGCCGCCCTCGCCTGTCTGTGACTTGTGCAGTCCCTTTGCTTTTTCACGGCCCTCGCGTCGTTCGATGTTGCGGGCGAGGCGGGCGAGTTCGGTTTTGAGCTTGATCTGCTGGGCCTTGTCGACTTCGGGGTCGCCGGTGGGCTTGATGTCCTCGATGCGCATGTTTAGGAGGCGCTCTTGTCGCTTGTGCTTGATATATAGTTGGATGACGGCGGGGTCGGTGATGATCTCTGTTACGTCCTCAAACTCGCCGTTCTGGTTCTTGATGGTGCGTGTGATCTTGAGCTTCTTGCCGCGGTTGTCTGCATTACTATTGCGAGACATCTGGGACATGGTTTCATCGTCATGACGCATCATGGGAGTTCCTACTTCGGAGCGCTGGCGGGGTAGGTTGTTGCGGGCCACGGCAGAGTCGACGTCATCTTCGGTATCGGAGGGCGGGTTCTGAGCGGACAAACTCTCCTTCTGTTTGTTCCAGATTCGCTTGATAGCATTCTCGTACATGACTTGTTGTCTCTGAACGTTGTAGCTGTGACCACCAAGTTCTTTCATCTTCTTGTTGTCAAGACGATCTGCTGCACTCTCGCCAACATCCCTGAACCCACCCTTCATCGAGACCTTGATGAAACTAAAGCCCAGACCTTGACCAGTAGGGTCGCCGTCACCGTGAAGCTCCAACATGGCCTTGCCCGCACAGGCATTCAAGAAGTTCTTGGTCGTGTTCCAAGGTGCCAACTTGACATCAGCATTCTCGTTATCAGCCTCATCGTCGTCGTCACGAATTTCGTTAGACTTGATACCAGCATCTTGAAGTTGCTTGTCGCCAGCATGCATCGAGTCAATCAAACAGACATCCTCTGGCTTGATCCAAGTGCGAAGAATTGGCTCCTCGGGAACGGTCTCGCCAGGTACGGGTTCCCAAGTACCAATGTCCTTTTGATACTTCATGATTTCTCGCATTCGGGAACGATTTTGCGCAATCTCGGTACCGGGCAGATGCTGCTTGATCATCTCGTTACTAACCCAAGGCTGACGTGCACCCTTCTGTTGTCCCTTGCGGTAAAGTCGGAACGCCAACATCTTGAGTCGCTTCTTGGATGCCTCAGTGACTTTTCGAGCATGTGTGCCAGGCACCTCCACAGAGGGGAACTGTTGTCCAACGACCATGAGGTTCGGAATGTTGCGCATGTAATACCTGTTGCCATTAACACCGGTATAGCTTCTGCTCACGAGGAAATCTGTCTCTTCAGGCTTGTGCTTGAACACCGGTGCTCGATACATGGCGTTGTGGAGTGTCAACACTTGCTGGCCTGGTTCGACTGTGCCGAACAGCGAGAAAGGACTCTTATCCTGCGGCAGCAAGACGGAAGTCTCTCCAATACCATCCTCTGGCTTCGGTCGTGCTGTATCGTCCATGTCTTTCCGCCGGTAGTAGTTGAGAATCTTGACACCCATGCCAAAGTTAGACAACGTCGTGGGGTACTCTTCTGAGTATTCTGCAAGAAGGAGGTCCGAGTTGTCGCCAATGTTGAGGTCTTCCGCTGATGCAAAGGCTTCAGACGGTTTGAGATTCTTCTTATGTTTCCTTTTGACAGATCTGAGCGTCGAGATACTAGCTCGCTCGCCAGGCTTGAAGGTAACGGTAGGGCGATGGAATGACCGCAGTTCGCGATCGGACAGCGCGACCTTGTAGAATGGATATTGCAACTTCAACGCGGGCAAGCTATGCTCAACATTCATGTGGCCAATTGTACTACGGACCTTCTGTTGACTGCTCTCC